ATTACTTAATTTTTCTTGAAAGACAAAAAGAGACATTTTTGAGTGCCTCATATGTGCCAGAAAATGTTTAAGAATGTCACCTAAGTTAAATATTTTTATACTTAGATCAAAACTCTGAGGTAGGTGCTCTTATTATTTTCAGTTAGACACAAAGAGGTAAGTAATAGGTTACTTAGTGCAATTTCACAGTTGGTACTTTGCATAGTCAGGATTCAAACCTAAGCATTCTACCTTCAGAACCTGTATACTCTAATGACATTAGATGATATCTGATGACATTGATTTCACTGAAATTTTATAATTTCATTGCAATCTTTTATAAAATCAGTTTACTATACCCATGTACACACACACACACACACACACACACACACACACACACACACACCTGAGTTACAAAACAAAAATACTAGTATACCAGTGCCATCTAGTGGCATCACTAATCTCCATCTACAACGGAAAATATACAGAGGTGTTCAGTATCAGTATACATAGTAAATGAGGAAGTATATGCAGTAAATGTTTGGGAGGGACGATGATCAAAGAAATGTGACTAAAGATTAAATAAAACACATTTGCAATTCCCAAGCAATCTTCAGCTTGAACAATTTCGTTATTCTTTAAATATAATCAGTAAATTATGGGGTTTCTTCCCCATTCATTCATTTCTTCTTTCACTGGTTTATACAGTTATTTGTATGTTATATATACTTTATCCTCTGCACATTTTGTATACTGCATACTGTACTAGAGTTAAATGATGAATTTAGGAACATTTATGAGCAAATCCACATTCTGATAGACTTTGGGAGGAAATCAATGCAAATCATATGGTCATTAAAATCTAGTATAAAATATGGGAAGATAGAGCAGTGCTGGCAATGAATTAATCAACTTCACTCGGAATTAGAGGAAGACTCATAAAGGAGATAATTCTAATATTACTACCTTTTCACCAACTGTCAAGTACCATGATTGATCTATTTGCATTTAAACCTTCAAGCCACTGCCACTAAATTTAAATGTCCATAAATGCTGCATTCACCACCTATGTGTTATGTTCATCACCTTGCTGATATATGACTAGTGACTTCCTAGGACCTACATAACATAAAGAGACTAGAAGGCCAAAATGCTTGCTTTAAAATACAGGCTCCATCACTCACTTGTTGCTTTGTATGGAAATTGCTACTTAAGCTCAACATGCCACAGTTTCCTCATCTGTACAGTCGGATGATTGCAGTTCCTAATTCATAGGGTTGTTGTAATACATTATTATAGCTATTCTGATAGTCAGACAGTGAGCAGTAAGTATTAGTGGTTATTATGATCATCACACTCTTCTGCCTGACCTGCTTCACGTTCCATTATTGGGGTCTTTCCACTCTGAACTCGAAGGGATATAAGAATAACTAACATTCAAAGGCTCCTTTAAAACAGATTTTGCTTGGCCGATGTGGCTCAGTACTTGAGCTTCAACCCAGGAACCAAGAGGTCTCTGGCTCAATTCCCCATCTGGGCACATGCCCAGTTTGCGGGCTCTACCCCAGTGGGGACTATGCTGATCCATTATGTTTCTCTGCCTTCCTCTCTTTTTAAAAATCAATACATTTAAAAAGTACATCTAAAACATTTAGATTTCAAAACAATTCAACATTTATTTAGAGCTAGCTTATCCCTTTCATGTGAACCTTTTATTCTACCCAAGCCAGTGCTTTCTCTGTCCTTAAATATTGTCTATTGTTGATCTCTCCTATGCCTTTGTCTAACTAAATCATCTTTCAAGGTCCAGCTCATATCTACACTTCCCATGAACCCTCATTTTACTGATAGCATCTTTCTTTTATGAATTTCTATAACTTTGTGAATCTCAATGAACTGCTCATGAGAGCCTCATTTTGGCCTTTAATAACATGTACTAGAATAGATTATAGCTTTGCTTTAAGTATATTTATACTGTTCTTTTCTTCTTCAGTGATGTTCAGTTGGAGTCAAGGAAAGAGCATCCCACCTCCAAACAGAATATATTAAATTTATCTGAATAATTTTCCAAACTCTTCCTCTCAACTAGAATTATCACATGACCCCACTAAATTGGTGTCTAATTACCTTATGACACCAATATTAATGTTGGATGTACAATTTCCCTACAATATACTAGTATTCAAACAATGCTAAAATATACTAAATTGAAAGGCCTCTGATTCCTTTTAAATGGCTTTAAAAAATTTTGTATATATATGGGAGAATCCATATAGAAAAGAAACAGGTGTTGTATCCTAAACTTTTTTTAAAACAACGAAATGACTAACTGGAAATTATTGAAGGAAATAGTTCTAAAGGCACAAGTCTTCTAAGCGATATCCCATTTTGAAATTGTAAAAGGGGTAGGCTAACAAAAGTTAAATTCGCTAACATTAATTAAGGTCCACATCTCTGAGTGATGCTTATTGAGAAAACCGTCATTTAAAGAAGCCATCGTCGTTTGCTGAATTAATGGAACACAGGCTTAGAGCTGCTTTGTCACCAAAAGCTGCGCTGGTTCCTGAGTTCCCACAAAAACGAGGATGCACCACAACACCCAGTTCTGCACCGTGAGCCCAGTTTCAGACCCACGTGCTCTCCAAGTGGAGCATTCGTCTCCTTGGGTTGACTTATTCACACGACAAATGCAAAGCACACAGACACTTCTCTTTTACCGACTCCTTACCTTCTTGGAGGGTGTCCAAGTCAGGGTTATGTACACGCATTTGTACGTGTTTGCCTGACAGGTGGCCTGAGCCAGCCTCCTTACTGAAGAGTCCGAGACACGGGCCTCAGCACTGGAGTCCCCTGCGGTCCCTAGAACTCCCGAGATCTCGCGAGATCAGCCTTTCGCTGGGAAGAGTGAATTGGCGGCACCTGAGCTGCAGGCCAGGCAGATTAGTCCATTATCTGAGCCACTCCTAAGGCTCAGTGCATCCGAATCCATCCTTTCCCTCCCCGTCCACACAACAAAAAGTATCTCAGTATTTCTTCCTCTCTCCTCTCCATATATCGGTCACAGATACACATAGAGAGGATTTTGAGGAATGAGCTCACATTATTGTAGAGACCAGCAATCTCAAAATCTCTGTGCTTGTTCAGCAGGCTTGGGGAGGATTTGCAGTTTAGTTCCAAGGTCTGCTGGCGGAATTCTCTTCTCCTGGGGAGGTCAGCCTGTCTCTATTAAGGCCTTCAACTGACTGAGACCCACCACATTATGGAGAATAGTCTGCTCTACTCAAAGTCTACTGCTTTAAATGTTAAACCCATCAAAACAAAAAACACACACACACACAAAAACCCTTTACAGTAATATCAAGAATAATGATTGACCAAATAGCTGGGTCAAACATTGACACATAAAATGTCACCATGACACAAAATGAAGCATCACCAATGCCTTCTCTACCTCCCATCACAATACTATTTGTCTTTTGTCTAAACACGTCCCAATGCCCTAATCCTGAAAGTAATTCAGGTAAGAGATCAAAATGAATCTCTTATCTGAATTATTTTCACCCTCTTGTACTACTGCTTTAGGAACTTATGTGAAAAATTCTATTGAAAGCCCTAGGACGTATATTAGCTCACATTTTTACTTATGTTATCTTGGGTTTGTGGAATGTGAATCTCCTTAAAAACATGGTCTATGATGTTGTATTTCTCCCTCACTTACCACCATGTCTGGGAAACAGTATTAAATAAATATAAAAAAATAGTCATTGAGTTCCTGTGGATGTGAGACTATAAGCTTTACAAGCTCACATGCTCATATCCGTTTTATTTATTGCTGTAGCCCCAGCACTTGGAAGAAAGCCTGGTTCATAATCGCACCTTAAGAGCTATTTGGTAGAGAAATTAGAAAAAAAATCAGTGGCAAATAATGAGGAAATTAAATAGAACATAAGCTCCAAGAAAATGGAGATTTTATGGTTTTATATGTACTCCAAACACCTGACACAACTCTGGCCATAATTGCTCATTAAATGAATTGCATTGACCCTAACGAAAATTCAACAGATTCTCTGTATTACCAATTTTTACCATGTGAAAGAATGGTTTTATTCACTGAAAAAAGAAAAATCAAATTATAGGAGAGGTGCTGTTAGATATAAAATAAAAATTATAACTATTTTGTTTATATTGTATTACAGCTTATTATGCCTCACTGGGATCTTTCACTTGCATTCTATTGTTGAACCACCTCAGAACTAAAATAGTGCATATTTTAAAGCAACATTGAATGTACTTCATACATTTTAGCAAGGAATGATAAATTTTAAACAGATATATTTTTAACTGTACAAAAGATAAATTTATCATATATGTTTTTAAATACCCATCCTATACTAAATAAAATAAAAGTCAAAGTAAAACAATCAATTTCATACTTTTATATATGTCTTAAGGACAAAAATTCATCATGCTTGTATTAATTTGGCTATTTGAAGAAAGGTCTAAGATTACTAAAATCTTTCACACAAGCTTTTTGGCAATAGTATAACCAGGAACCCCCTGCTAAGAGAGACTGCTACAATAATAAAATAAAATAAAATAAAATAAAATAAAATAAATGTGTATTTTATTTAAGGACTAATGTTTCATTAATTCCACACAAGAAAACTAAGAACTCCTAACCAAAATGTTTGTAGGTTTCAACTTTTATTTATCTTCACACTGAGGTCAAAAGAGGGTTGGGCTGAGATTAGGGAAAGAATATTGTTCCCTGTTCATTGACTAGAATATCCATACAGATGACATCTCATTGTGAGATGTGATTACACCAGTCATTTTCAAACCCTCAAGTCCATCATCTTGTATAATCCATGTTTATATGTATGAATCAAAACCAGACTTGTTATTAAGTGAAATGACATGGAAAAGGAAATTTTACTAGAAGACTTTATGCAATTATCCCATTTCTCTTGTATAGTTGGTAACTGATACAATAAAAATATTTACTTTTCCCCTCATAGGACCTGATTGGTGACTTGAAGGAGAAGCTTTCAGATCACTTCAAAGATGTTATGGTTGGCCTCATGTACCCACCACCATCTTATGATGCTCACGAACTCTGGCATGCCATGAAGGTAGTGGTCTGATGCAAAAATACACCTGTAATAGGCACAGGCCCTTAGTTTGGTAGAGAAGAAAGTGCCCTGTGATGTTGTTACATATGATCTGGAAGAACAAAGGGAATATCTGAGCAAAGATGAGACCATGGAAATGCTGTGGCCAGGAGAAGTGGCCCTGTCAGGAGAGGGGTCCTCTAGAGATCACGGGGTGGGATTAGCCTGTTCTTTTGTTATACAGATTCAGACTTCCTGGCCCAGCTGAGCTACCAAAAGGAAAAAGGAAATAAGCTTCAGTGTCTTATTCAGATTCTCCCTCCCCACCATGTATTCTTATATTAAGGGGAAATGTTACCTCACGTGAATCTCTTTAAATTATTTGTAAAAAAATTGGCTTATTAAGTAAAAATAGGATACTGAGTTGGACACAATATATAGATGGCATCTTTATTTGGATATTTTTGTGATCTTAAGTTAGTCCTTTACCAAAAAACTATTACTCAAATGTATCTAAATTTTACTTCTGAAGGATTAGAATATTCTTTTTCACAGGAAAATAATTTCTATAAAATAAATCGACTACAGATTTGTTAGAAATTTTGTTGACTAGGGATAGGGAACAAAAAAGAGTTTTTACATCTTCCCAAATGTTGATATTAAACACCTGCAGGACTGTTGAAATCATTCCAATACAATGCCTGCCAATGACCAGATTACCACCATCTGTGAACAATGTGGGACAAGAAAGAGGAAAGGAACAAAAAATTAAGGGAACCTGAATTTTAGCCATCGCATATTTGTAGATCAGAATAGGCACTGTATAAAATTCATATGAATTTCAACTAATTGTTTTTTTTAAAGTTACATATGTCAATTACTACATCTTGCAAAGTTATTAGATTAAAAACTATAAGATAAGAAGGAAGTCATGTTACTGTTTAGATCAGTGGTTCTCAACCTTCTGGCCCTTTAAATACAGTTCCTCATGTTGTGACCCAACCATAAAATTATTTTCGTTGCTACTTCATAACTGTAATGTTGCTACTGTTATGAATCATAATGTAAATATCTGATATGCAGGATGGTCTTAGGCGACCCCTGTGAAAGAGTCGTTCAACCGCCAAAGGGGTTGCGACCCACAGGTTGAGAACCGCTGGTTTAGGTGAAACTAATATTTTTTCTATACCACATAGAACAGTAGTAAGAATTTCTGAAGCTTTTCTGAAAAAGACGTGCTGTCTTTAAAATTACTATCAGAGAAGAATACAAAGCTGGGCAAAATAAACTTACAGTTATGAATCTCAAAACAGAGGTTATTTTTGTATTATTATTTATTAATTATTGTATTGTTTTCCATATGAACAACTGTAAACCTACTTTTGCCCCACTCTGTATATGTGTTAGGCTGCAAGAGACCATGGAAAGTACCCAATTCAAATGTTTAGGCAAATGGTACAAAATTCCATATCTAGGAAAAGGCATCCTAAACATCCTTAGGAAATTAAGGATTTAGGCTCTAATTTCAGCTTGCCAAAAAATTGATATTTGAGCAGCAAAAATCAGTGTCCTGAGCATTGTTTAAATATCTTTTTCCACATTATTTAGAAATGCCCATGTTGTTTTATTCTAAATGAAGGAACAGGTTTCAAATAATATTATCTTCTCAGTGTCAAACAGCTGGTAAATAGCAGACTCAGACTGAATTGGGCTTATCTTGAACCTAAACACACTCCTGTTGGCCTCTGCCTCCTCTCAGAATTCCAGAAAGCTGTATCCCTTTATACTGCATAAGGTGCACTATTATTCCCAGTGCAAATACCTTGATATTTCTCTTTTTCCTGTCTTTCCAGGGAGTAGGCACTGAAGAGAATTGCCTCATTGATATATTAGCTTCAAGAACAAATGGAGAAATTTTCCAAATGCGAGAAGCCTACTGTTTGCGTAAGGAAATACACATATTTACACACATATCAACCTTATATTTTTCAACAAAAACAAAATTATTGATGTATTTTAAAGGATTTTCTAAGACACTCTTATATTTGAAATATAAAAACAATAAACTCATTAAGTAAAAGTGATGATTAGGGTATTAAAAATGAAATGATTGCCCTGGCCGGTGTGACTCATTTGATTGGGTGTCATCCTGTGCACCGAAAGATTGCTGGTTCGATTCCCCATCAGGGCACATGCCCAGGTTGTGGGCTCAATTACCAGTAGAAAGTGTGCAGGAGGCAGCCAATTGATGTTTTGGCTCTCACATCGATGTTTCTCTCTCTCTCTCTCTTTCTCTCCCTTCCTCTCTCTAAAAATAAAAAAATCTATATATTAAAATTTTTTAAATTAAAAATGAAACTATTCCCTAGACAATTAAATGAAGTATTTTTTCCAGGAAAATAATTACAAGTTTCTATGAGGTGACTGTTTACATTAAGACAGGAAAATGCCCAGCACAGTGGTTCAGGGATCATTTTAACTCTTACTCAGGAGAGACCAGGTACATAGACAAAATAAAGTGATGTGCAATAACTGCTCAGCTAATTGTACAAATATGGGTGACTACTTCACTTTATATACATTTTACAATCACTGTAATCTACCTCAAAATCAGATTTTTACACATTTTTAAAGTAGACGGGTTAACTATTTTCATTTTCAAAAAGATTTAATGCATTCTGTATTATGTGACATTGAATGTCAGGAAAATGTCTCCGGCAGTCTGCTATATTGCATTTGAACAAAAACAAATATTTCCCAAGGGGAATGAAGTAAGTAAGACCCTTCACTTAAAATATTAAAGTGAGACAAAGCACTTGGGAAAAGCTCTGGGCTGAGCAGCAGTCTATGGAAATATAATTTATCATTCTAAATTTTGAGAATTAGAAAACGTGAAATGACTTCCAATATTGTTTTTCAACTTTGGAATGAAGTTAATAGATAATATGTTTTAAGAAAACAGACCCGTGCCAACGTTACTGTTATGTGGGTTAACTGTTTATTGGCTTCTTCTGAGTAGAAGGTATTAAAGGACAAAGAAATATCAACAGATTGATTGTATTTCCTTTGTTTTCCACTCTCAACTGAGGAAGTAGCATTAACTTAGTCCAAGTGCATCGATATATGGTTCTATAATAACTCACAGCTTTAACATGGGTGTTTTCTTATTCAGAGTACGGCAGTAACCTTCAAGAAGACATTTACTCAGAGACCTCAGGACACTTCAGAGATACTCTCATGAACTTGGTCCAGGTATGATACTCAAAAATTCACACCATTTTGCACTATTAAAAAAAATAGGTATGTTTCATTTTCAAAAAACAGAACAGAAACCTCCAGTTTAACAGAAAATTCTATATGATAACACTTACTAAATACCAAATCAATTCAAGCCACTATAATAGAAACATGAATTGGGTATAGAAAGAAACAAATATAAATAGTACACCATCTCTATAATTTTGCTATCTTCATTTGGGGGGATTCCTATGTCAAATCAAAGACAGAAGGTATGGTTTCCTTTAATGTGATGAAAAACTTTATACTGAACTTCACACATATTTTGTATGATTTAATTAGCGGATGAATAAATATATTAGCCAGGTTAGAGCACAAACTAACAATTCCATTCATTGCCAGAAATCATGGATTTTAGTGCTTTGTGTGTATGTATGTGTGTGTATGCCCATGTTATTGTTAGTTTTGAATTAGGAATAAAGAAGTACAAAAGAAAACATTGAGGAAGCTACGTATATATTGCCCCAAGTTGAGGAGAATGGTAATTCACACTGATTGGGTTCTTTCAAATTGTCCAATTGAAAAGAGTGGCATAGTACTAAGCAAATCAAATTTAAAATTTTAATTAAAAACAAAATTAAGAATTTGCTTTATTGTGTTTTCTATTTGATTTTATTTAGATTTGCATGGTTTGGCTGCATAGTTCATAAACTGCCCATATTATCAATCTCAGTGAATCAAGTCCTATTCTGAGGATTCTAAATCTAAAATTGTAATGTCAATGCAGAGTAGAAAGTTTGATTTTTTATAGCCCAACTTGAGTTCTGTGTAAATTTAGAAATAAGCTTATTTTAATTTGTAAGAGAAGTTTAAGTGATTGTAGGGAACATTAATAATTATTATTAATATTTAAAAATAATCTCACTTGTCATGCCAATTGAATACTTTCTAATTTTAATATACTTTTATTGATTTCAGAGAGAAAGGGAGAGAAAGATAGAAACATCAATGATGAGAGAGAATCATTAATCAGCTGCCTCCTGCATGCCCCCTACTGGGGATTGAGCCTGCAACCCAGGAATGTGCCCTGGCCAGGAATCGCATTGTGACATCCTGGTTCATAGGTCGACGCTCAACCACTGAGCAACACCAGCCAGGCTTCTAACTTTTAAATGTCATAAAATTAATTTTAATTAAAACTTTCTCTCAGTTTAGAAGGGGCATTATTTTTTTTAATTTTCAAGTAATGATGCTACATAATATAAATTAAAACAATTTACAATAAGAATCTCACGTTGGTGTATGTATTGTTGCTAATAGAAGAGTAAAGCAAATAATTCCATTGTAAATTTATGAGATGCATTCTGATATCAAATAAGTTTTTATTTTCTTCATATCCACATAGAAATGTATTTTACTTATTGAAGAAAAATATAAGTTTTCCACTAGAAAAAAAATGTATTTCTTTAGGCCTACTGTATCAGAGCTAGAAAGACTACTGTATCAGAGACCAGCTTCTCCTTCTGCCAACTCTGCTTCCTTTCTCTCCCTTCTATCTGTGTTGATCCCAAGCACATTCCATAATAAACAAGAACATGCTGGTCTCCAGCTGAGAGTCACCTTCCCAGGGAACCCAACTGGCTATATCTCTTCCGTTGAGAGATGAGGAAACTAAAGCCCTAGAGAGTTACATGGCCTGTCCAACATTACACATTCCCTACATGCGAGGGCTAATATGAAAACAGACTTCAGCGCACTATTCCTCCATTGTTCACTTTAATTAACCTCCAACCCCATTTGATCCCACTCCAGTTCTACTTCTATTTGGTAAAATATCAATGACCAATACATAAATAACCTCTTAGATAGAATCTCTGCACCTCCTTAAAGGTTGAGCTATAAACCACCTAAAAGTAACTGACATCTAAAAGTCAGGATCACAGTGTGTTTTTATAAAGCAAACATTCTTATATTTCAGGGGGAAAAAGCACTTCTGAAAATTAGACATGAGAGAAAATAAATCAGAAGGGGGAAAAACAATGAAATAATGTTTTCCCTTGATGTAATAGGGAAGTCAATCTTATTCGTAATTGCAGTTCCTTTTCCCTGAAATTAAACAATAATGTTTTATTATTATAGGGTCTATAAGTATCTGTATTTGTATATATTATAGTATTATCTGTATCCAGTGGTCGGCAAACTCATTAGTCAACAGAGCCAAATATCAACAGTACAATGATTGAAATTTCTTTTGAGAGCTAAATTTTTTAAACTTATACTATATAGGTAGGTACATTGTTATTAACCTAATTAGGGTACTCCTAGGGCTTAGGAAGAGCCATACTCGAGGGGCCAAAAAGCCCCATGTGGCTCGAGAGCCACAGTTTGCCGACCACGGGATAGACTCACGTATTTTAAAATAACACACAACAATTTATTTCATCACTTGGTTTCACCTAATTTGTATTGAAACTTTACAGGATAAAGTATAACTTCTTAAGTTCAATTTCTAGAGTTTAAATTTTAAGTGTGTGTGTGTGTGTGTGTGTGTTTAACCTTGAAATAACTTTTCAGTGTAATAAAATTTTTCTATCAACATAGAATATCAAAAATGAGGGTAAATAGAGACCTAGATTTTATCAAAAGCCAAGAAAATTAATGAAGTTTACTTAAAGATTATATACTTATAAAGTTTTACACTTCCCGTAAAGTTTAAAATGTATATTTAATAGAAATTATTTTACTCATAATAGAAAATAGAAGTAAAAAACTTATAAAATATGTATCTTTATATAATACCCCTTAATATTCATCTTTTTTGGAAATCAAAAGTTCATGATAATTCATACTTCTTAGTAAAATATATAACTTATCTTAAATTTTAAAATATTTTGAAGATATTCCACTGGCTCTTCAGTTTGGAACTCCTGATTTATGATTTGGCTCAGTATATTGAAAAGATTGGAAGAAGATATAAATTGAATTAGAAAATTGAGACAGTTCATCCCTTCTCCTGACCACTATCTGTGGGTACACCATTTCACAGAGAATCTATCCACATATTTTACGAAAAGAAAATGGAGTTAATTCCTAAAGGGGTATGAAATTTAGAGCTGATAAGTTTCAATCAAACAATTGAGGGGTGCTGCCATGTAACCATATCTCTTCAACCCTCTTGTTGGGATTATTATTCTCTCTGTCCTTATCTGCCTGTCTATCTAACTATCTATCTATCTATCTATCTATCTATCTATCTATCTATCTATCATCTCTGTAAAACAATAAGGTATGTATTAGATATCTGTTTCTCTTGGCTTGTTATAATTTAGCTGTATGTCCTTGGATTTATCATTTAACCTTTTTGTGATTCAGATTAAAGAAATTCACTCTGTAAATTAAGGGATGTGAACCCATTCTTCTTGCAATGCCCTCCTAAAACAAATATTGTAAATTTCTTCAATTGTTAATATTACATTCTCTACCTCCATCTGCATGGTGACTTTCAGAATCAGAGGAAAGACTGTCCATGGCTTTCACCTTTTTCACATCATGAAAATTAAGACACACCTCTTTTTGTGAATTAACAGAGATGGAGGGAATCTGAGCACTGGAGCCTAAGGAGTTCATGAAATGGGAAGTGCTGAAAATCACTGTCATATTTTCTGGGAGAGAAGATCTTTCACTGAATCTATAGAGTATATAGAGTATTTTCCCTCAGGGCTATTTCTAATAAAGTAATAACTCAGCCAGAAAACGTTCCTCTTGAAAACTAATGCCAATCATTAAACTGGGCTCATAATACTTCCTGTGTGCTTTTATTAAACTAGACTTACAGGAGATCTAATTATCTGTCATATAATGAAAAATGAGTCACTCGGAGATTAATTAATCAATATATGCAAATCACACTGGAGATGATAAATGTTTTCACAGAGAAAGAATGGAAACTACCCAACTGGATGCTTACTCCTCATCTTGGCTGTCAGAATTCTCTTTGTGACAGTTTCTCAGACATGTACAGTGAGGCCTCTGGGGATGTCATTGCCAAAAGCCTCCAGTGATCATTTGTAGTCAGCGTACCTGCTCCAAATATTCTCAGCTATATTTTAATTCCCTTTATTTCAAATTTCCTTTCACATTTTTATTTTGCCCCTAATCCAAATTCTGTACTCATTTATTTCATTTATCTGGCATTTATATCTTAGGCTGTTTTTCTATGTGACATCAGATTGATTCTGCCTTAGTGGAAAAAGCTAAATCACAAACTTATTCACTTCCTTTTACTCTATCAGTCTCCTTAAAGTGCTCTCAGCACTGTGGTAATTTGAAAATAATATAACACCCATATCTTACCAATCAATGAAAGTACGTTCACTTTAAATGTTGTATTCTATTTCTTGCTTATCTATGTATAAAGGACAGTTTTATATGTAAATACACAGATTTTAAAAATAAGAATTGCATGTGTGCATTCTTAGTCACCTGATATTTTATTGTGTCTGATAGGCTCAGTAAGTTTTTCCTTAGCTGTACTCCGCTAGATGATACACATACACAACTTCTGAGTTATGATTAAACATATTAAATTTCCACAGCTAAAATGTACTCACAAGAAAATTTCACTGGGAATAAATTGATCTTTTCCATTTGCCCTCAATTTTTGGTTCGCAAGGGGAAAGAACCAATATTTAATCTAATATGGAAAATTTAATACATAGAATATGTGGAACAGTCAATGTGAGAGTACATGTTCAATAGTATTTATATGTTTATTGAGTTAAATACTCAACTTTCAGATTCCTGGCCCTCCTTCTCTTTTAGATGGCACTTGGTGGAGAGGTGAGTGTGGTTTATGAGATGTCTTGGCAACAGGAGAGCAATAGTGTCCCCAGATCATCAAGATGTGTTCTACATCCTTGCTCATCTCAGCTATGGAAGGGCAGTTGTGGGCAACTCTGGACATTAGCATATAAGGGGTAGAAGTCCAAGATATGAGTGTTTCTCAGTGTTCGCTGTCAAACCATACAGCTGGTGAATTTATGAGCTTTATGTGTTTATTTTTGGTCGCCATTTGGACAGAGCCAAGTAAACTCTCATGATGGTTTAGCCTCATCATTGCTTTCTCTGGAGCTGAAGAATCCTCCTAAAGACTAGCCGTGTCTCTCACACAGTTCCAGCCAAGTGGTCTACCACATAGCCCCTGGCTCCTGGAACAGTCTGTCTCTGACATGGTCATAAACAGTTCCATCTGTCAAACTCGCCAACCAGAATCTCAGCTGGCATGCCAGTTCCTCCATCGGGAGCAGAGAAGAAATTTGGGACCCATTCATGCCACTTAGGTGTTAAGATTAATTCAAGAGAGTTGTATTCAGCACCTCCCTCTGCCCAGTTGTGCTTCATATCACTACAATGTGGCCCTTTCCAGAGTCTGAAGAGATGCTAGAAGAAATCACTTTATACTCATTGTTTTCTTAGCACAGAATATATATGAGGGGAAAATGAAATAATACAAATAAAAAAAGCTGTTTCTCCACATCTCAACCCAAATGAAAGGCTAAATAAACTGATCACTTATCTCTCCTACCTCCCTCTTCCCTCTTGCCGGCATATTACTCAGCAACCAGAGGATCCTGCATTGGGTCCTCCTATTTTGAAATGCACATTTCTTAGGTCAACTTGGCCATGTCTATTCTTTATATAATGAAGGGATGGGGATAAAACAAATCACAAAATATTGGCACTCCACCAAATATAGATTTCATGGTTATTTTATTGTTGCATATATCTCATCTCATATGTCAGAGACCGAATATTAACTCATTCTTCCTCTGTGCATTTTCACTCTAACAATGTTAAATCTCATCTCTGCCACTCACGGCCAGGCACTAGATGCTCTTCTTTATGGTAAAGAAGATACTGCACAGAAACTTGGAAAAGTGAAGAACATTTCAACATCTTTGAAATATTACCACTGCTGCAAAGAAAAACAAAATAAAACAAAAGAACCCACATTTAAAGAAAAGATATTTCATAAAGTATTCAAGAGAGATAAGGCTAACTCTAAATAATGATAGAACTTTCTTAGGAATTACCAATGTGTTTGCGATTCAAAGGTTTTTGTCCCAATAATTCTATATAAATTGTCAGTTAAGAACAGTTACAAAGGAAAACCCATGCTTACTTTACAGGGAAGCAGAGAGGAAGGTTACACAGACCCTGCCATGGCTGCTCAGGATGCAATGGTAAGTAGAACCAGCTCTCAGAATGACTGTAAAGACCCGTTGATTATTAAAATGGTCTGGCCTGGCCTGGGTAGGTTCTGGTGCTCCTTCTGCATCTCTGATGTTTCAGGTCCTGTGGGAAGCCTGTCAGCAGAAGACGGGGGAACACAAAACCATGCTACAGGTGATCCTGTGCAACAAGAGTTACCAACAGCTGTGGCTGGGTAATTAGTAATCAGGTTTCTTTTCAGATACTTAACTGATTATATAATAGAAAGCAAGTAATTAACGGGGAAAAAATAGGGGGGGGGGAATGTTACATATAAATAGAAGAAAGCCAGTTATCTCAAAGGTACTGACTTGGAATTGTGTTTATACAGACATGCTTCACCTAAAAACATTACTAAGGCATAAAATTTCCCTATAATTTTATTTTTTCCAATAACTGCATATAACCTTTAAATAATGAACCTTTAAAAACCATCTCTATTTTTGATGGAAAACTTACTCAACTATATAGTGAACATAGCTTAATCAGCCTATTGTGAGTCAAGATCATTACTTTTGACATCATGAATTATGTGAAGCTGCTGTATTGATCTAAGAGTTGCACTCATATTAGTTTGCACTTTGATTTTCCCCAAACTGCTGTACCTTTGTGTTTCTCTTATTTTTTAAATTCTTTTATGTTTTCTTACATATATAAGACATACAGAAATATATAAAAAAATTTAAAAGATGGTCTACTTCAACCCAACTCCCACCCCTATACTTTATTCACCTTCCCTGTGTATAGCAATGTAATCAATATTTGTATTTTAAATGTATCATATTTATAAATCTATGATATTTCTATTGAATTATATCAATTTTTTAAAGTATTCCAGGAATTTCAAAATATTTCTGGGCAAGACATAGTGGATGCCATTAATGAATGTTATGATGGATACTTTCAAGAGCTGCTAGTTGCGATAGGTGAGTAATAATTTAGTTAGTGTACAGCAGACCTTTTACTCCACCACAAATGCTGATTGGCTCTGATTATGTTAAAGATGCATGAGTAAGCTATTGGTTGAGTCACTTTCTCCTAAATTTAGTTATTTAGAAGGGATGTTAACTTTATAGAGGAAAAGTACATCAGCTACAGATCCAATGCACTAAACTGGCACACTGACCACTTTAATGAATGAACACACTTCCCTAATAGCTGGTTCAACTTCCATACTAGGAAACATTGGATTCTCAAGTGTTCTCTCTCTCTCTCTCTCTCTCTCTCTCTCTCTCTCTCTCTCTCAATTGGGATCTCACACCTTTAAATTCATTTGTTTTCCATTCCCTTGTTGAAGAGCAGATTAATGCTAGCAATATGGGTTATTTTTCTCCATGAGGAAAAGAGTGTTTTGATACCATGCCTAATAAATTTATGCCTTTAGGGGTAAGTCTTACTATAGAAAAAGATTTACCAAGTTGTTCCTTTAGTGGTGATTTCTTCAGGCTACTGTGAGGAAGTATACTTTCAGCTTCTTCCTACGTGAATAAAAGTATCCCTACATAAAGGAGAAACAGTGGTAACTATCCATAAAAACTACTATTAACTTCCCATGCTTTCCTCTGTGCTGTGCTATGGCTTGAGAGCACACATTGCAAAGATTACAAATGAGGGATCGTTTTGATATGTTGCTTTTAGTAGGCAAACATTAAGTACTCAGATATTTGTTGAACGAATGAATATTGTGGTTTTTCCATCTCTAAAGTGACAAAGACATATATGGGCATGGAAGCTGAAAAATAACAGAATTTTAAGAAATTTTAAGCTAGGGTTCCATAAAAAAGGTTTGGTGGGTTCTATGAAATCCCTAAAATAGTATACAAAATATGAACACTTGTGTATTTTTCTGAGAATAATGTACATACATTTCAGTAAATTTTCAATATAATTTAATAATTGCATACTCACATCTAAACTCCTCATTTTGCACACAAGGCCTAAGGAGGTTAAGCGACTACTCCAAAGTCTATCAACTAATTAGCTATCAGGATATAACTAGAACCCATGCCATCTGAATCTCCAGATAGAGCTCTCTTTCCACTAGACTGCAGCCACAAACAAAGTAAAAAGAATGAACTCTTACCATTCGCAACAGCATGGATGGACATGGAGAGCACTGTGCTAAGTGAAATAAGCCAGTCAGAGAAAGATAAATATCACATGATCTCACTCATTTGTGGAATATAATGAACAACATAAACTGATGAACAAAAATAAATCCAGAGACAGAGAAGCATCAAACAGACCATCAAACTTCAGAGGGAAGGCAGGGGAGCAGAGGGTAAGAGATCAACCAAAGGACTTGTATGAATGCATATAAGCATAACCAATGGACACAGACATTAGGAGGGTGAGGCCATGTGTGTGTGTGTGGGGGGGGGGAGGATGGCCAGGGAGAGGTCAATGGAGGAAAAAGGAGACATATGTAATACTATGTGTAATAATTTAAACAATAAAGAATTTTTAAAAATAAAAATAAATAAATAAATAAGTAAATAAAAATTAAATAAATAATTAAAATTAATAAAATAAAATAAAAAACACACAAAAAAAGCACAAAGCAGTGGGCATCAGACAGAAAATAGTGGACATTAGAAATAACAAAACAATTTAACTGCTTCATTCATTCATATTAATTATTTATTATTTTGGTCATTGATTTAGGCACTGCATATGGGACAGTAAAACCACAACAAAAGCAACAAAAGTCCCCATCCTTAAGGCACTTACATTCTAGCAGCATTCTATTTATTTTGCATAGAAGTTATAGACGTACATACATTACTCATTCCTTTCTTAATTAATTGACTTATTCAAATAAACAATATTGAATGTCTATAATCATCAACTGACTTTCATCAAGGACTACTGTTGTCTAGACTCTTAGGCTGTTCTAATGCCATCATTGTTTTGATGAAATGATTTCTAACACTGATATAGACCAGTTATTGTCCATATAGTTTCTTCTTAAGAGATTTAGATCTATTCACAAATCTATATCCTAAAAATAGTGTTCAGGAAGATGAACCACTTGTAAGGGGTTATGTCACATTGAATTCTACAGTAATAAAAATCTATAACAGTGGAGGTAACCTGGGTCTTTTTGAAGCTCTATTAATTTTCAGATAAAGAGGACACATTTTATGGAGGAAATAAGAGAGTTTCAAGAGATAGAGATAAATGAAAATCTGAATTACTCATTATAATATTATTTCTTTATGCTTTTTATTGGTTACCACTAATCTCAATGTTGAAATTGCAATACAGTATATAATGAAAAATCCTACATAGAACTCACAAAGACCTTTCCAAGACTAACGGAAAAATAGTGTGCTCATTGTTTCTCAAATTTTGAAGAAAATATATACTGTCACTCTCAAACTTTCTTTTTTTCTCTCTGATATTTTCTAGTTCTCTGTGTTCGAGACAAACCAGCCTACTTTGCTTATAGACTACATAGTGCAATCCATGTAAGTATGACCCACATATTTAAAAATTTCTCCAGAAGTTGTGTCTACTTCCTCAAATTACTAATTTTACTTCCATTATTTAAATATTGATTGTCATTTTTAAACTTGTGTACAAGTATACTCATTAAAAAGAAAATATGTTCAAGTGAAAAGTATATTATATACCAAATGATACCCATCAAATAAAAATAATCCTCTGCTTTCTATATATCAAATTGAGGAACCTAAGAAATATGATTCCTTGGGGCCTATCTTCTGCATGTGCTTTAGCATTTCTTAGCAACTGAACAAACTGGTAAATCCAAATGCTTCATTCTTTTTTCCTTAATCTTCACCCGAGGATGTGTTTATTGATGAGAGAGAGAGAGAGGTTGCCTCTGGTATGAGCCAACTCAAAACCTAGGTATGTGCACAGGACAATGATGCTCTAACCAAATGAGTCACCACGTTGGGTTAAATGCTTTTGTATCTTACTAAAGACCTTAACCTCATACTTATTGCAAGTGCAAAACGTATGGCATAGAGCAGAAAATGTCAAAACCTTACATACTCTGCATAAGAAATTGCACATTCCTGAAATTTAAAAACACAAAATAATGTCAGTGGTTATATTTAAACATCAAATCTTATTTTAAAACTAATACTCAAAAAAGATAGTTAGACAGCAGTAAACTCTAAAACTATTTTTGTTAAGTGAGAATGTTTTTCAATAGTTTAGTGTGCTAGTCAATTTCACATCCTTTGGTTCATTCATTTTTAAAGAAACTAACACTTAAATGCCTGAGAAAATTCACACCTTATCCATTAATGTGCACGAAACATATGTAGAAAAAGAAAAGGCCTGATACAAATCATTATACATATGCCAAAGCCTTGAAAACTCAATGGAAATTATTTAAAACAATTCACTAGTATGGTAATTTTAATCGAAAGAGTATTTTTTTCTCAAATAAATTTTAATAAACTTCTTATAGTTTGTTAAAATTATAGTTCTTAGCCCACCACACTGGGATATTATGCTAATTGTCAAGAATATTTCTGTCACATATATTGTGTAAAGAGTATTTTTCTTATTTATGTGCAAGAACCTATGTATCCTCAGAACAAAAAGGAAGATTAAATGTTCATTATCCTCCATTTCTCTTTTATTCTATTTCCAAGCAGAAAATGTTGATTTGATTTTTTAAAATTATATAAAAGGGTATATTGGGTAATGCTATTAGATGATTACAACAGTTTTCTTCTCCAACAATAAAGCTTCACCTGTGAGTGAAGATGGGAACATAATCACAATTACCGACTCTAATTATGCCCAAATAAGAGCTACTTATTCTACTGCTAAATAAAAACTGTACCCCTGCTGTGTGTTGCAATGCAAACAGGAAGTTATGGGTACCCCCAAATGGTATGAAAGTAAAGAGGGGGATTGTATATTTATCAAATAATTAAATTTGTCATACATGAGGCTCTTAAATGTACAATATTGGTCAAAAGCTGTGTTCACAACCCCTAGCCAGAGGAAATCTTTGTGTCTTCCTCCAGTGAATGATATGCGAGTTAAATATGGAAATTTGGTTAGATCACCTATTTTAGTCACCTCAAATTAGGGAAAGCTCGTTAGTGGGCCTGCACCTAAAACATTGACATCAAATATTAGTTTATGCTGACTGGCCACTGGATGTCACCATTCCTCCATTTAAAGAGACAAGTTGTAAAACTATTCTTTTTGAAGCTAGTACACAAATATTGATTTTTTTTATATTTTTCAGTATTTGAGCTTAAATCAGAAAATATTTCAAGTACCTAAAATTTTAATTTTTATCATTGAATCTGACTTGGGCACTCCCTGAATGGTGATGCCCATGGTTGAGGGATGCAGGGAGAAGAGCAAGTTGCTATAGAAAAGAGGAGGGGTCTATGTTAGACAGATGAATTATAAGGTACTGTTCTCTAATTTTTTTCTTCCCTTTTCTGTATCTTTTAGGACTTTGGTTTCCATAATAAAACTGTAATTAGGATTCTCATTGCCAGAAGTGAAATTGACCTGATGACCATCAGGAAACGATACAAAGAGAGATATGGAAAATCCCTATTTCATGATATCAAAGTAAGTCTCCCATACGTGATTTATTTTGACCCATAGTTGGTTCTTTTTGAAACTTAAATAAGAGCTTTAGGTTAAATAACTTCATGTTATAATCTAAAAAGTTAAGTAAACTGACAGGGATAATGGACTTCAGTACATCAGGCAGTCAGTGCTACAACAGTGCTGAGGAAATCCCTCCACATCAGTTACAGATCTTATTCCTCTTTCACATGTTTTAAACAAACATCATTGATGTAATCACACACAGCATTAATTTCCTAATTGTGTAATTGTGTTTTATGAGCTAAGTGCTGAAGTACTGAAGTATGACCAGCATTGAGAAAAATACATTTTGCAACAAGACCACATTGTGAAAAGGTTTCTAAGATCAGTTCAGCTGTACTCTCATATTATCATAGTAGGCAGGGCAGCCATAGATGGTAATTTGGAGGAATTTAATGCTGATATGTAAAATTCTATACATTCCTATCCCTTTAGCTTTTGAAGGGGGAAGAAGTAATGATTCAGAAGTAAACAAGCCAGTTTTATCATTCTGATATGTTTAAACTTTACCCTGGATTTTGATAAAACCTAGCAAAGAATTATCATACTATATAGAACCACCTATGTAATTTGTGGTACCCAATGGAAAATGAAAATGATTGATCCCTTTTACAAAAAATTATAAAGAATTTCAAGATGGCACCAGTGGAACATTAAACCAAGCACAGGCCCTGAGGATATATAGTGGGGCCTTGACTTACGAGTGTCCCGACTAACGAGTTTTTCGAGATACGAGCCATCTCTCGGCCGATTTTTTGCTTTGAGTTGCGAGCTAAAATTCGGGTTACGAGCCAGCTTCAGATACCCCACCGCTCGTTGGCACAGCGAACGTCACAGTGAACGCCACAACATCAGCCCAGCATCACGTGTCTCACTAGTTCACTTTAATGATTTGACATACGAGTAATTTGAGTTACGAGCTCCGTCACAGAACGAATTAAACTCGTAAGTCAAGGCCCCACTGTATTTTAAATTCTATTTCCCACATACTTACCTTGTTCACAATGGTTTCCACTGAAATTTTCAATTGCACGAATGGCTTTTTAATAGAAAGTGAGATCCAGAACCAACTCAACAACTCAATGATCAAGAGACCACAAAAACAGAAGACCTGATAGGCCCTTGAGTAGCCAAAGTGGTTTTTAGGAGGAAGAGTTTTGGTAGACCAGTTGAGATAAATCTTATCCCTGTGTCTTCGATTAAACTCTTGTTAACCCATTTCAAACCCTAAATTTTTAGTGATGATAAACATTACTCATTGAGAAATGCATGTCATAACTCATTTTCTAACTAAACTAATTATAATACATTTACTGCAAATAATTACAGCCATGTCAAAATCTACTAATATTTACATATTAATATTCCACTTTACTATGTTGGTTTAAAGCAGTAAATTATAATTACATTACATTGTATAAGAGAACATTAATATGATGATTGATTCTTAACAAAGATAGGTTTTAGAATTCCATTTATTTACTACTATCATTGTTTTGAAAAACTTAGAAATAATAGAAGGGAATAAAAAAAATAAAAGTTACCCTAATTGTCCACCACAGATAATAACCATCATAAAATTTATTTTAGATGCTTTCTGTCTTTTTAAAAATATATATAAATATAAATATGTTTTACCACTCAGAGGAGTATTTTTATTGCATAACTTGGAAAGTACATGAACTACTCCACATTATTACATATTGCTTTTTAATTTTTCACTATCATATATATTATAGCATAAATCTTTGTGCTCATAAATAATTGATAATTATTTCCTTAGGATTGATTTCATGAAATAGAATTACTTCATTTATTAATGTTAACATTTAGAAGTCTTTCTAAGGCACATTGCCAATTTGCCCCTCCCCCCCCCCGATACTATCAAGATTTATAGCAATATTAGGACACTTCTTTCTAAAGTTGAGAAGAAGATTTAATGCTACTTCAAATTACTCTTCTTATAAATACACATTAGGGTTCAATCAACTTTATATAGACACCATTCTATCGACCATGGTATTATATTTCAGCAACTTCCACTGGGAATAATTCTCAGGAAACATTAAATCTTTAGATGAAAAAGTAAATACTTTTGAATAGGCTAATACCCCATGGGTCTTTCATACTGTAGTTCAGAGAAGTTATGCTTCTTTTTAGAAATATTGTGACATTTTATTTAAAATGCATTATTTCTTTCAGAATTTTGCTTCAGGGCACTATGAGAAAGCGCTGCTTGCCATCTGTGCTGGGGATGCTGAAGACTACTAAATCAGGGGAAGGCTTGGGAACACCGTGCACGCCTCTTTATAGACATGTCAAATATAGATTTTGTCGTGAATTTGCATTGTTAGTAGCATTGTAACAAAACTATGAATCATATTCCCTCTTCTATCTTTAAAATTATTCTAAGCCAAAGAAAACTGTGTTGATACATTTATGTGAGACTGGATTTTTACTTATTATCTAAATCAAACATTTATTAAATTGTGTATAATGGAATAATAAAAAATTATTACATTGAATTAGATTTTATTTAAATATAAACCATTGACTTCGTACAACAAGAGATTCTGCTTATGGCTGCCCTTAGCATCCTTTGGAAGACCAATGGAAACACAATGTGTGGCCATGCCCCTTAGAAGAATTTTTAAAACTCTTGGACAAATGCAATAAATCTAAAGTGAACATGTAAAGCCACCTTTAAAAGCAAATAAAGGTGTTCTGGCCCTGGCCAGGTGCCTCAGTTGGTTGGAGCGTTGTCCCATACACCAAAAGTTTGTGGATTTGATCCTTGATCAGGGTACGTATGGGAAGCAACCAATCAATGTTTCTCTCTCTCCCTTCCTCTCGCTCTAAAATCAATAAACATATCCTCAGATGAGGATCAAAAAAGAAAAAGAAAAGAAAAGAAAGGTATTATACAGCACAATGCAGTCAGGTATATGCTTGTCAGGCTTAGATGTGCAAGACACTTTGATGTTAAAATAAGAGAGAGAGTGTGTGTGTGTGTGTGTGTGTGTGTGTGTGTGTGTGTGTGTGTGTGTATTTGATAACCACTCTGGTAAAGGCAATTTATTTCTAGCTAATTTTTTTTTAATGTTGGTGCCTAAACAACCATTTGCTCATTGCTTTTTGTTTTCACTTCTTAACATTAGCATCAAAGTCTTTTGAAAATTACTATATGCTTTGTGCCATCAGTTTAGCCTGATCCCTTATGTGTTTCAACATTCAGTAAATTAGGAGCAGCAAGCAACAACAACAAAAAAATACTCACTGAGGTCAGATTTGGGGGAGAATCTAGACTAATGCCACAACGTAGCCTAGAGTAAAAGCAGAGATGAGCCCACAACAGAGGCTCCCAACATAAGAGGAAACACAAAAACTGAGATCATGGACAGCAGTGATTCATGAAGTCACCCAAGGAAAATGAGAACATGTATGCAATAAATCTAAATGAACTGGTGAAACAGATAGAAGTGCTTTACTCCACTGCAACATTTTTTAGTTGTCTATTGCCCATTTCCTATAGATCTGTTTCTACTGGTCTCAGGAGAAAGGAAAGATGTACTCAGAACCCAGTGTCTGATGGGAGGAATGACACAGTACATTTAGCACACAATGACTGGGTACAACATAGAACAATTCAGACTTCTGAAATTGCTCTCAAGATTTACAATGAAATAATACTCAACCACAGAATGAAATCTTACCTTTTGCTACAGCATGGATGGACCTAGAGGGTAATATGCAAAGTGAAATAAGCCAGTCAGAGAAAGACAAATACTATATGATTTCACTTGTAAGTGGAATCTAAAGAACAAAAATAAATGAACAAACAAAATAGAAACAGGCTTATAGATATAGAGAACAGACTGATGGTTGCCAGAGAGGGGAGGTTGTGGGGCTGAGTAAAAAAGGTAAAGGGATTAAGAACAAATTGGTAGTTACAAAATAGTCACAGTTACACAAAATGTAAAGTACAGCATAGAGAATATATCAATAATATTGTAATAACTATGTGTGGTGCCAGGTGAATATTTGAAATATCAGGAGGATCACTTTTTAAAGTATATGATTGTCAAACCAGTATGCTATAAACCTGAAACTAATTCAAAATAATATTGAATATAAACTGTTGAAAAATAAAATAAAATAATTCAACTTATTGCTATGGTATATGATGTTATATTATTTTAACTTGAGCTTGGTTTCTACCTTTTAAAATATCATTACATTTAAAGCTGAAAATAGTAAGTGTTCAAGACATTTGACATAGCTACTATACAAGCTAAAATTCTTGGAAGAAAAAAATTGTTAGAATTGCTGTTGAGAATTTAGATATTTAAATAAAAAATTTCCTCAATGACATCTTTCAATAAGTTGTTCAATAAATTGTGAAATCTACACTTTAGCTAGGTAATACATTTTATTTCATCAGCACAGAAAGAAAATCAAATAAAAAACAAATCCAGACTTAAATGATGAGAGACTTTATTTGAAGAAAAACACACAATTACTACAACAAGTGGAGAGGCCTAGTGCAATAGGAAAGGGGGGGCTAATGAAATAGGAAAGCACTCTGCCTGTGAGATTTTCAGTGGTCTCAAGGTCAGTCAGAACATAATTTTAATTTCTATGGATAGAAAAACAAGGCTAGAAATAATTATGTATAAGAAATGGCATGAATGTGTGGTGATCTTGGGATGTCTTTGATTGAGTTTCCTAGTCATAGTTGCTCTGAGATTGGACAGTTGATCAGGGATAGCTGATCTGAGAATGCCTCTAGGTGATTTTCAGGAAGGCCTTAAGGGTAGATTAAGGGTCAGGACCTGTGGGGAGGGGAGAAGCCTAACAAACGTTGGTCAAGGCAAGCAAGCAGGTTTTTGTCAGCAGGAGAGAACAGTTCAGCTAATCATTTAGGAGGCAAAGAATGGGAGTTGGGAGTGTATATTGAAGATTGTCATAGGAACACAGGGGTGTTACCTGTAAATCTAATCTATGTCACAGAAGAAAGGGTGGTTCTTTGGGGTAAACCATTTTGTGAGACACAGAAGGGCAAGAACATTTCTTGGCCATTTCTGTTTTCTAGGAGCACAGTACTTGAGTAAAATGTAATATTCAGTCTATTGCTTTTTTTCCTAAGACTGAACGGAATGCTTTACTCAGCTGTTTAAATGCTAACACAACATTGTCATCTTCATCATCACATAATTCACTCAGTGAAATCCTGTAAAAGATTAAGTGTTTAAATTATTACCATTGTTATTTCCACTTAATGGTACTTAGCTGGTTATAGGATCTTTAAATGCAAAAATCTTTACTATACCTGATGGACTGAACAGTCAGTGCAAAATCCCTGATAAGAGTAAAAGCATCTCCCATATTTAACCTATGGGGGGGAAAAAGACAAAGTAACATTTAAAGAATACATTGCTTTTTGGTGTGTTATCAATCTACAGTAAAGGAAATAATAAATGACTACCTAATTCTGACCTTTCCACAAAAAATAAAAACACATATGGAAAGACTGCAGAGAAGTGTTTGTGTCCTTTGCACCCAGTATTTCACTATGCTCATTTTACTCCTAAATTGACTAAATTAGTAGAGGCTAATCATTTCTATAAAAAAATTATGACTTGCAGTTTTCATAAATCAGCATATTATTATTACTGAATTTAAGTATTTCACACATGTTCAAAACAGTGCCAAATATAAGAGATGTCACTGAAAATGCAGTGTAGGCAGCTCCAAGGACCCATCTTTTCACAGAAACATCAATATATATACTACACATATATATTATATGTATATATGTATAATACGTACATATATACAGGAACTGTCAGAATCAACCTTGTTAGAACTCTGGAAAACAGTCAAAGGTTTAACTCAAATAATGAAAAAGGTTAGAAAAGGTAGGGGAAAGCTTTGTGAGATCTTTATTTGCCCTCTCCCCACAGTTCTTCCAGCATAGGAGCAGTCTGTGTTCCCAGTGTGGCCCTGACCCCTGATTCCAGGGGGAGCAGAGCTGACCTTATTAACAAGGGGTGTGTTCATCTGTCTGTTCTAACCTGTCTGGGAACTGTGTGAAGGCCTGAGGTGAGGCGCTTGTCTTTGTTTGGCCTAGCTTGAAACTCAGGAAGGACAAATGAAAAGTCAGGGGAACTACTGCAGCTGCCTAGGGCGAAAGATTGCAGTTGGGTCAAAATTATTGAATAATGAAAGCCTGTGAGAAAAAGCTGGGAAAGAGTAACCAGTATATTAAACATTTAGAAAACCATTCTCATACCTAGGGCAGGACGCATGCTCAGGAAAGACCTGAGAAGACCCCCTGGCTGGTCTCTAAGATTAGTGCTAGCAGGAAGTGAAGGGTAAGGCAGAATTGTCAATAAACTTAGTGTGGATAGGAGTATCTTAACATAGAGCCAAACTGCAAAAATTGGGAGAAATTTTTTCTTAATTTTTCCCCCTCTTCTCCTCTTCCTCCTTCCTCTTCTCCCCTGCTTCTTGTGTTCAAAAACATCTTCGTCAAAACACTAGCTGAATACAAACTAAAGAAACAAGGACTTCAGAGATCATACACAATGAAGAATACAGACTTTAAAAAATTTATTTAGAAAAGCCACTAAGCAAAACAATAGCTATCGTGAACAGCTAGAAACAAAAACAACAAAACCTGAAAATAGAGAAAATTTCAGAAATACGTTTTAATATTCAAATGTACAGTTCTCAAAAACAATTTTGAAGCATGAGAAGAAACAAGAAAATGTGCCCATTGATAAAATTATCAGAAACTATCCCGTAGAAACAAAAAAGGTATAAGACAAAAATGGAAATACAAAAATGGAAAAGTAAGTTCTTCCTCATCAGTAATTATTTTAAATGTAAATGAATTAACTTATTTGATGAAAAGAAAAAGACTGGTCAAATGGATAAAAAAATAAGCATCATCCAACTATATACCCTTGGTTTAAGGAAAATATTTAGCAGCTAGATAGAGGTGGTTGTTGTACAACATTATGAATGTACCAAATGTGGCCAAATTGTTCATGTTCATATGGTTATTTTTATGTTATGTGAACTTCCCCTCAATAATAAGTAGTATTTTAAAATAGTTTTGAGTAAAATGCATCTTTATGACTCTTCTTAAGTCATTGCACCTTAAAATCATCCTCATAAGTTACAATGCCACCGCACAACAAACATTAATTACACAAACACACATATGTCTACTAGTATAAAGATGTTAAAATAGAAAAAGTCATACCAATTATCCAAAGTTAGTGCTGACAGGGAACGGTTTTTATAGAAGTTCAATACATAACCATTCAATGGACACTTCCTTCCATTCATATCATATTTCTTCAAGCAAAGGAAAGGGATGTTTTGAACATTCACATCAATTGTTCGTAACATAGCCTGAGGAATGCAGAGATTTTAGACTGTTAGCATTTTCTTTTGAGATATGCTTCAATCTATTATAAAACTTGATTATTGTGGTTCATGACATCTAGCTAACTGAAACAACCCAATATATTTAAATAAAATATTGTCAAATGCTCAGTGTTTTAAAGTTCTCCAAACTTTAACATAAGTGACCAAATAAAGTCAGTAAAACATCGATATTCAAAATATTAAAACTATTTTTAAAATCACAAAAACTATATATCTAACTTATTCAGAATTTGAAGAGACATAGTCACGTTTATCATCTCAGAAATATATTACAAATATTTTTAAAATAATTTTTCCTTAAAAGATATTTGTGAGCTTACAAACTTATATTGGTACTAGAGGCCTGGCCTGCAATGAACGCAAGTGTTCTGCGCCCAGCCTGGCCCCCCTGGGACTGGGGGACTCCAGCGGGGTTGAGAGGACTGGGCACCACCATCTTGTGGCTACAGGCACCTCCATCTTTGTGATGGAGTTATGGTTAATTTGCATATCACCCTTTTATTAGATAGGATCAGCTACATGCAACAATAATAGTGCTTGTTCCCCCCCCCCATACATCTATTTTGTCCTGCAGGATATAAGTATCTGGTTTTGTCCAAGGATATACTCACAGTCATTGAAATTTATTTCCATCAACATGCTATGGATAAGCTGTCAGGGGTGAAGGTAGGACTGGCAGTCTCATTACTCCCAATCTTGTGGGGCAGTAAAGAAAGCAGCTCTTGTGTCAATTTTAAAAATTAAAGTGTTTGATATGGCCCGGCCAGCATGACTCAGCGGTTGAACATCAACCTGTGAACCAGGAGGTCATGGTTCGATTCCGTGGTCAGGGCACATGTCTGGGTTGCGGGCTTGATCCCCAGTATGGGGCGTGCAGGAGGTAGCCAATCAATAATTCTCTCCCATCGTTGATGTTTCTCTCTCTCTCTCTCAAAAAAAACTCTCTCTCTCTCTCTCTCCCTCTCTAAAATCAATAAAAATATATATTTTTTAAAAAGTGCTTAATATGTAAGTATTGAGTTTCTACTCTTCACTGAGCACCATTTTTAGGTGCAGGGATCACAAAAGTGAAGCAAATACAATCTGCATCAAATAGTTTATAGCAGGGCAACAATGTTTTGGTTTTTTTTTATTCTATTTTTTAACATCTTTATTTTTTTCAATTACAGTTTATGTTCAGTATTATTTTGTATTAGTTTCAGGTGTACGCATAGTGGTTAGACAATCATATACTTCACAAAATGTTCCCCTCAATATTTCCAGGACCCATCTGGCACCATACATAGTTATTATTGACTACGTTTCCTATGCTGTACTTTACATCTCCATGACTATTTTTTTAATTACCAATCTGTATTTCTCCATCCCTTCACCTTTTACACTCAGTCCTCCAATCCACCTCCCCTCTGGCAACCATCAGTCTGTTCTCTCTATCTACAAGTCTGTTTCATGTTAATGTGTATTTTGAACTTAATTGTTCTGAGATAGCTCCCAATATTCCTCATTTCTAGCAGGTGATACTGATGTTGCCAGTCTCTGGTTCACACCTGGAGTGGTAAGGGCTTAGGCTATAGTGATTCACATAAGTAAGATAACATAATTCATACATGATTATTAACTGAGAAAATAACATTATTTTTGTTATCTAAATAAATTTTTCTATTTTAAAACTACTTATGTATACAAAAAAAAGAGAGAGAACATTTTCCCCCCACTTCAATGAAAACTACTACCATTATAGAATATGAATAAGATGGCGGCGTTTTACTGGACTCTTAGCTAGTATTATAATCAATAAAATTATTTCTCTTAAATGATAAACAGGATACAAGAAAGTTACTCATCAAAATTTACATACATCATTTATCACATCAACATCAAATAAATCTTGATCTGTTATGTTGGACAGGCAAGCAAATGGGGAGACAGCAGTTCTGCTCTCGGTCCCAGGCATCAAATGAGAAACCAGTTCAGAGTCTTCACATTCTTTACCTGAAAAGTCTAATAAGAAATCAAATGAAAAATCAAATAAGAAAATAATTAAACTAAATGATTTAAAACAAATCATACTTGTTTGTACCATTAGTACTAGGCAAATTATTTGTTTAAAAACAAACACAAAAGTATTTGAAAGGAAAATTTAAGAGTTGTATTGCCAGATGATCACTGAGAAGACCTTCATAAGCTAAAATCATTCTGGCATCTGCTAGTGGTTCTATTTTTTGTAGTTATCAATTGGTCCAATTGGATAAGTTCTTGTCTATCCACTCAGACATTAGAAAGACACTACTGACAAAGTAGAAAGCATGCTTCATTGGACACTAGTGGATCTGAGGACCCCAGGTCAAAAACCAGGGGCATCCACCTGAACTTTAGAAAGAATTTCATTATCAGTTCATTCTTCTCAAGATCCTATGGACCTATAAAAATTGCAAAATTACTCATAATAGGATTAAAAGTTGACATCATCCCCACTGTCTTACACTAATGCTTTTATTATTCATATTCCAGCAGAAGGGAGGAAATCCCTACTTCATTCGTCAGGAGGCAAAAATAACAGAGGAACATTTCTAGGTCTTGTGGAGCTCACTCATGTCACCCCAGAACTGAGTGGTGAGTTTGGGAAAGAAGCTATTGTCATGTCCATCTTAAATTGTCTCCTACTATCTATCATCTATCTATCTATCTATCTATCTATCTATCTATCTATCTATCTATCTACCTACCTACCTATCATCTGTCATCTGTCTGTCCTCTTCCCTTCTATCTTCCTCTACTTCCTTCTCTGACTTCTTTCTGTGACAATAACACTCTTATTTCTGTGTCTCATTGTTTCCCTTTGAATAATTCACTGCCTTTATTCTGTTGTTTTCTCTGCCTCCCTTTGTCTATCATGTTTGTTCTTTTGTACTTTTCTCTATTGTTGTCTATTTTCTGTCTCACTCTCTTAGTCTGTATGTCTCTCTCCTATCTTTCTGTCCATGTGTTTGACTCTTCCTATTTCTCTATTTCTGTTTCTTTCTCTCTCTCTCTTCTCCTTCTGTGTCACTCTATGGATCTATTCCTCTATGTATTTCTACCTTTCCCACACACACTTCTCTGTGTCTTTCTCTGTCAGCGTTTCTTTTTTATTTTAAATATATATTTTATTGATTTTTTACTGAGAGGAAGAGAGAGGGGTAGAGAGTTAGAAACATCGATGAGAGAGAAACATTGATCAGCTGCTTCCTTCACACCTCCTAGTGGGAATGTGCCCACAACCAAGGTACATGCCCTTGACCGGAATCGAGCCTGGGACCTTTCAGTTCGCAGGCCGATGCTCTATCCACTGAGCCAAACCAGTTAGGCTCTGTTGGCCTTTCTATTTGTCTTTTGATCTCTGCTTAAGATCCAACTGATTACTCAGAAGATACATACCATGTTTCCATGTTTTCTAATTCAACTTTATCCACATTTTTCCCTTGTAAATTGTTCAGTTGATCCCAATTTAGGTGGAAAATACAAATGTCTAATGTTTGACTTTTAAGCATGCAAAATTAAATGTATGACTAGGATTTATTATAAGTAACCTCTCAATTATTAACAATTATAATTATCTGCATTATTTGTTTTAATTAGAGGTGGTAATTGCACAACATTTTACTGAACCAAATGCTACTTCAGTATTATATTGTACTTGGAAATTACATAATTGTATATTGTGTATATGAATTTCATCTCAATTTAAAAAAAAATCTTTGGGAAAATTATGCCTATTATTTGTCAGTATTATTTATTCACATGTCATTTCTCATAAATTATATTTGTTTCCTAATGCTGATGTAGCAAATTACCACAAACCTTATGGTTTAACGCAATCCAACTGTATTATCTTATGATTCTGGAAATCAGAACTCTAAAATGGGTCTCACTAAGCTAAAGCCAAGGTGTAGTCAGAGCTGTGTTTGTTCTCTGGAGGCTCTAGTGGAGAATCTATTTCCTTGCCCTTTTCAGCTTCTAGAGGCTGCTGTATAGTCCTTGGTTTGTGGGCCCTTCCATCTCAAAGCCAGTGTTGATTGGTCAAATCTTTCTCATGTCACCTCTTTCTAACTCTGATTCTTCTGCTTCTCTCTTTTACTGAAAAGGGCTCTTATGATTACTTTAGTCCACACATACTAGTATAATCCAGGATAGTCTTCCCATCTCAAGGTCAGCTGATTAAAAAATGTAATTCAATCTGAAATCTTAGTTTCCCCTTTGCTACATAACATATTCTCATATGTTGCTACATAACATATTCCCAGGATTAGGACCCAGATGTCTTTGAGGAGAGGCCATTTTTCTGCCTGCCACAGTAATCATCTCAGAGAAAAACGGAGAAGAAATATCATTGCATTTACACCTCCAAGTTCCAAATGTAGGTAACTGCTTGGGAATGATGCCATTGTAATAACCTGGTTGTTATTTAACAGGAAAGGAGTGAAGGGAAGGCTAGATACCATAGGTATGCCATTTATACAGCTTTGCCAAAAAGCTGCATTTAACACTATCCAAATCTATTCCCACTGATTAATGAGGGAAGGGACTGGACAAAGGCAGTTTAGACACATGCCCAGTAAGGTCTGAGTCATGTGAAAGGTGCTTCCCTGTCAGTCACACCTGGAAACAAGTCAGTGGCCAGGGTGAGCGTGGCCACTGCAAGCTTGAGAAACCTGAATATTTAAACTTCTAAACAAAGAACACACTCTCTGTTCTCTTGGTTTTTACTCTCTCACACACAAGCACGGGGCTCCTGGGGCTCCTGTTGTGAGGGGCTGTGCTCTTCTGCACCCATGTGGCCCACAGCCACGTGGGACTCCCACAATGGATTAATGGACTTTAATTAGCTTGGATGCTGACCTATACCTGGCTGCAACATGAACAGAAACTCTGGCCTTGCTTTTCGGCTCTACCGGAGCCCTAGCTGCACCTCTTTCAGGACTGGCTTAAGGGAAATAGGATTTTGAAACCTGAGAAATGTAACTTCACACAAATAAAGTCCCTTTTCCCACATCTCATTCTCCGGTGGGGGCTTCTGAAAATTCTTATTTCAGTGGTACTTTAAGAACCTCGCTCCCATAAGCGACAGAGGAGTTTGATTCTCTGGTAACAGGAACATTTACATTCTTTTCCATGAAGTTGACTCATTACCAGCTAATTTCTCATTCCATGATTGAATTAACTGACTATTTTCTCTTTGTCCTTCATAAGCCTCTACAATCCAATATAATATGTTGTCTGAAATATGACTAAACCAAATCAGTCCTTACTGCTCCTTTTTATTTTTCTCCTATTTTTTTTCTGATTCTTCTGGAAAACAGAATTCTGCCACCTTCCCATTTTCTTCTTAGCTCTCAATCCTTCTTTCTATCCATTTGGGGGCCCTGGGTGTATTCTCTACTTTCAATCCCTTTACTTTATCTGGAATACATTACTGAATTTTTATTATATTTTTCTTTTCTTTTTTATTTATTCTATCCTTTACTCAAAGACATGGGCAAAGCCTTAATTTATTTAATGTCCCACATAGTACTCAAGGAAATGAGCATACTGATGACCACTAACAAACATGCCAATATTCCTTTTCTAATATTCCCAAAGTTAATTCAGATTTGAAAATTTAACTAGTTAATAGCATCAATATCTACTTAAAAATAGTATCAATAGGAAAGGAGATGTTTAAGAATAAGTTTAGACCAGCTTATAATGACATCAGAAAATATAGAAATATTTTAAGTATTTAGTGTTAAATCAAATCTATGGTGACTTAGCTAACTCCAAATTATATGATTTCAGTATATGATTTCCACAGCATAGATCTGAAAGATTATGCTAGTTTCCTGTGCATTCCTTTTGCAATAGTTTTGTCCTTATTTTGCAAAGTTAGTTTTATCTCAATATATTTATGTTTATTTTCTTTTATGGACTTCACATTCTCTTTATGTACATTCACAGTCTTACCAATTTCTGAGAGAGGTAGTTGGGATTCTTTTCTCATGTCAGCCAACTTGGAAATTGTTAGGAGGAAGGAACCAAAATTCTCTTGAATTCTGGTGTTGTGTTCCTCTACCACTGCAGCAAATTCCTTGGGAAGATCATCTAGAACTACCTAGGAACAATAAATTTGATTATTGTTGTTTTGTGTGGTTTTTTTTTAAAGCAGAAGATTACCAAAGCCTGTGAAACACGGGGTCATAATATATTTAAAACTCTGGATGAGAATATAGTTTAAATTCTATTATTTATAAAAGTATAAATAAAAAACTAAAATCCCTTGTGATCCTACTGTTATAGTAGATAGTGAGTTAGGTATTAAAGAGGGGAGCTAAACTGGCTAAGCCTGATCCACTAGGAAGCTACAGCTTCACAGACACCCAGGGGTAGGTACATCCTTGGCCGAAGTCCCAAGCAGGCAGAAAGACCATCTTCCCCAGGGAACAACTGGATTACAGGGGGAGGGATAAACACCATGTCCATTGTCTCATCCAAGACCAGGTGACTTCTTCCTGCAGAAGAACTCCAGCCTCTGGGTCCACAGGCCTGTACTTGTCCCTAGGGGGAAATTCCTCTGCTGGGCACAAGCACAGTAGAAGCCAGATGAGGAAGCAGAACTTTGAGGCATGCGCAGTAGGAGCCACAGTGATGACCATGAAGTGGAGGAGTCTAGGATCGAAAAATCGGGGAAAAGAACCTGAGAGAATAAGGGCACAAAACCCCAGGAGATTCAGGAAATGGGGAGGGGCCAGCATAGCCCCCAGAAGATAAAAGAAAATGATTGGATATTTTAAAAGGAAGCCTACTCTTGCCCAAGCCCATGGCAAAGGCCCGTCTTGGTAGCACCCATACACTTTCTCCCTTTAGCCCAGTGGTTCTCAACCTTCTGGCCCTTTAAGTACAGTTCCTCATGTTGTGACCCAAACATAAAATTATTTTCATTGCTACTTCATAACTGTAATGTTGCAACTGTTATGAATCATAATGTAAATATCTGATATGCAGGATGGTCTTAGGCGATCCCTGTGAAAGGGTCATTCGACCGCCAAAGGGGTCGCGACCAACAGGTTGAGAACCACAGCTTTAGCCAAATGGAAGCACCAAATGTGGACCAGACAGGAACAGAGAGTTTGCTGGATTGCTGGAACACTGGAGCCTTGGATGAGGATTAATGTCATGCAGTTCTGCATCCTGGCCCTCCTCCTGGGCTTGGTGGGGGCAAGTGTGGGCCTGGGGACCCATAGACTGGACTTCTTCTTCTACAGCGAGGAGTGGAGCCATCTGGCCATGGATGAGACATCGGGCATGGTGTACCTGGTCCTTTTTTTCCCTCCAATAAATCTGCCACTAAACCTCAACTCCTCCTATGTGTGTACCTTACCATACTTCATGTTCACTATGCTCACCTTTCCCATAATTATAGCGTATTTTTTCTTGTCATTTGGCAAAGAGTAGAATTCACAGGACAGTGATTGCCAATGGCTGTTAAACTGAGCATTCATGTCTTCTTGTTTCAAATTAAATGTTACTGTGGCCATTATTTCACCATTAAATGTAATGATTGAAATTATCTATAGTGTTATAAAATGTTCTATGTTATTCACTTGCTAAAATCTCTAACAGGAATAAAGTTTTCCTTTTTTAAACAAGACCTAAATCTTTTCCTCATCTGAGAAGTCACTTTATACCAAGAACTGACTGAGGCATGGTTAAGAGGTAACTCTAGACAATGACAGCAAAATTTTATTATAGGAAAATACGATTGCATTGCATGTTATAATGGAAAAATGTTACATTGAATTGCAAGGTTATGGTTATATATTTTTTCTTACCACTGAATGAGAAAATTCCTTTTTAAAGTTTTTCACACAGGGAGGAAGATAATGTCTTCCAAAAAGATTTGCTAACACCACCACTAATGTTTCCATCACTTCTTCAGAAAAGCTCTTTTGGCCTGTTTAAAATAAGGGGTTTAATTTTTCAAAACTTCAGAGAACAAAATTCATCATTTTAGAAATATAATGATGTCAGTTCTTAATAGCTATACTTAAAATTTCAAGGTAAGACACCTTTGAAAAAGTCACTTTCCAGATGTTTGGTGAATTTTTTAATAAATTATAATCCTATCTAATAAAGAGGGAATATGCTAATTGGCCCTCATGCTGTCTCAAAGATGGCGGTGCCCACAGCCAATAAGGAGGGAATATGCTAATTGACTTCCCTGCCCTCAAAGAATGCAGCACTCACAGCCAGTAAGAAGGGAATATGCTAACTGACTGCCCCGCCCTCAAAGATGGTGGCGCCCACAGCCACAAGATGGCAGCGCCCAGTCCCCTCGGCCTCACTGGGGTGCTCCCCAGCCACCCAGGGCTGGCCTGAGGCACAGGCAAGCCTCAGATGGAGGCTGCCCAGCTGACATCCGAGGCGCAGGCAAGCCTTAGGTAGCAGCTTCCCAGCCTCCCAGGGCCGCCCGAGGCTCAGGTAACCAGGGCTGACTGAGGCTTGCACTGCTGGCAGTGGCAGCAGTAGAGGTGTGATGGGGCGTCACCTTCCCCTGATCCCTGGGTCACCTCCCTCCCCTGAGGGCTCCAGACTGTGAGAGAGGGCAGGCCGAGCTGAGGGACCCCTCCCTCCAGTGCATGAATTTTCATGCACCGGGCCTCTAGTGTTACTTTATTATAATGCAGACTAATTGACCTCCTACTAACAGACTCTTGGTATCACTAAATCCATTCTTAGATGAAGGAAAAAATAAACAAACAACCATTTGGCCTTTAATTCTGGAATTGCCCTGGACTCCATCATGGGCTTTAAATCCTCCCTTTGCTACTTTGTTCTACTCAGTTTTTCCACCTCTCTTCAAAACCTACTAAGGAATGAAGGCCTTATGCTGCTTTCCAAATTCCTTATCTGCTATTTGAGGCCAGATGTTAACCACACCCACTCTGCCTTTGGCACACATTACATTACCAAAAAAGCTCGCAACTACACCTATGGACATGCTCCTGTTACTTCTCTCCCTGGAATATTTGTTTCCTGTTTCCATATGAGCAAATTCCTGCAATATTTTAGCGACTAAATTTCAAGGGAAAACCTATGTCTGATTTCTGATTTTCAATTGGGCGCCATATCTAACAGAGTGCCATGCCCACACTGATAGCCCCTCATGTGAGAACGTGGAAATAAGCCACAACTGACTCAACTGCTGGAGAAATGCAGAACATGGAGAGTGAGCTCCCAGATTTCAAGCAAGCAAGCAAGCAAACAAACAAACAAAAGCACCTTAAATTGATGTGTTTATATTGATAACATTATAGTAATTTCTTTCAGTTGTTTTTTTATTCCTTTAATTTTTTAAAATTTTCTTTCATTGCTTAAAATATTACAAAGAGTAGTACATATGTCTCCTTTTTATTTTCCCCCTTGACCTTCCCTCGGCCTCCCCTACCCCACAGTGTCTTGTGTCCATTGGTTATGCTTAAATGCATGCATACAGGTCCTTTGGTTGATCTCAAACCCCCTCCCCCAACCCTCCCGTTTTTATAAACTGATGAACAAAAATAGATACAGAGGCTGAGCAGCATTGAACAGACTGTCAAACTACAGCAGGAAGGCCGGGGAGGGTTTCTTTAATTTTTTGATACATTACTCACAGAATTTATAAAATAAGTAAAATTTAGTGATTATTATTTTCTATGATCCTTTCATGAAGAACTATAGATTAATAATGGATTAAAGTTTTTATAGTTTGATATATTAGTAGTTCTGAAGTATATTATATAATATTTTAATTATTTTTAATGTCATTTTAACAAAAGTTAGTAAATTACTGAAAATAAAATCAACAATAGGATATTAATTATATATTTGAGTTCATTTGAATTTAGAACAGATCACTTTACTTCTCTCTATAGCAAATTAAATTTCATTATGTCAAAGTTATGGAAAAGGGAAAAAATAATTTACAATTAATAAAAGGAAATAATTACAGAGGATAATATTGCAATGCCAATATATTCCTACAGTTACATGTGATTTTGAACTGTTAGCTATATGTTTTACTATGATACAGTTAATGATTAGTACCTAAATGTGAGGATATCACAAAGAGGCCTGTTTTTCATGTCAATGGCCAGGTATAAGAAGGATAAATTAGTGATTTTACATATATTATTACAATTTATTTCAACAGACTATATATATATATGCCTTGTAATTCTTGAATAATAATATTTATTATTCTAAGGTTTTATTTTTTTAATTTGAAGCACATTAGTCATTAGAATATTTATAGTATTTTATAAATATACCATGCATATATTAATAATATTTTTATAAACATATAAATAGTGTTATAAAATAAGAAAAATGTTCAAAGTACACTAAGAGAAAACACAGTTAGAAAGTCACACCTTCCAAAGTGAATGCATTCTGAGGAATATATGGTCATATGTAACTACACATGTGCTCCGTGTGTCTGTGCACACATTTAATGAGTAAATGTTTGGAAAGTGGTAATTGCTTACCTTTTATCTTGGTTGGAACACACAGCTTGTGAAATAAGCGTTTCTTCAGCAAGCTTACTAAAACAAAGTTTGCAGGTTCATGGTAGTGCAAATGTGACACGAGACCAGAATAACCAATGGGAATACATTCTAGATTCAGATATTCCTAGAAATTAATTTTATCATGTTAACCTTGGTCTGTAGTTCTCAGCAATATCAATCAAAGAAGTTTTTAATAAAGTATCTTTTAGTACAGTGGAGTTAAACATATGTACTAACACCTTAATTTAGTGGAAATAGGTTTAAATCTTACCTCTCTAACCAAGAATTGCAAAGAATATATAAAATAAAACTTTAACATGCAATTGATCTTTGGTTGCTTGAAGGACATCAATGAATATTGGAGAACCGACAATGCCTATATATACATATATCAAAACATCAAGTTAGATATTAAGCACATTTTATAGTGTGTCTTCCAAATGTAATATACAAAAGTCAACTAAACATTCCTATTATAGAACAGGGTGCTATATATACTTATGTACTACTTATAATAAATTATATGATTTTATATATTTTAAATATATTTTCATTGATTTCAGAGAGGAAGGGAGAGGGAGAGAGAGAGATAGAAACATCAATGAGAGAGAATCATTGATCGGCTGTCTCCTGCCCACCCCCTACTGGGGATCAAGCCCGCAACCTGGCCATGTGCCCTTGACCAGAATAGAACCTGGGACCCTTCAGTCTGCAGGCCAACACTCTACCCACTGAGCCAAACCAGCTAGGCATGTTTTTTATATTTTTAATTAGGCATTGAATATTGCTTTATTATATTACTGTAATTATTATTTATTTTAATTATACATCCCATAATGTTTTATATTGTATGTATGTGTAATATAAAATGGTAATAAATTCTTGAGGGAAAATAAGTAATTACACTTTAATGTATGATAAGTGACAAGTAAAATCTCTCTATATAAAAGCCCAGCAACCAGAATGACGGAATGACCAGAACGACCCTGGAATGACTGGTGGCTATGACATACACTGCAGCACTCAACCAGCCTGATCCAGGCCCCAATTGCTCCCCCCCACCCAGCCGGCCAGGCCCCCAATTGGCCCCCAACATCCTGGTCAGGGGCAGGCCGGCCGGCCAACCACCCACAGCCCCTCCCCACTGCTGGCCCAGCCCGATGGGCCCCCATCGTGGTGGACCGGACAGACCCCACCTGTGCACGAATTTGTGCACTGGACCTCTAGTATGGTATAAAAATGTAAAACCAAGAATTATGAATGTTTCAGTCTTTTACATTTTTTAACCATTAGTTATTTCTTTGAATTTTTTTTGTTTTTCATTTTTTAAACCACATATAATTACAGAAAAAATGTTTCTTTTCTAATATATATATAGATCCCAGGGGTAATTATAACAGGACAACCAGGGGCTTAATTTTCCAAATGTTTGAAAGCATGAAAATTAAAAGCATGTTTTTGGGCTGAATTAGGGTATTTATAAAGTAGAATCAAATGTTACAGGAGTTTATTTATAGCACATTAATATTTTATTCCCTTCAACTTATGTAAATTATGTAACATAAAATTGAGCTTAAATAATTATGTTTATTCAAGTTATTTAAATAAAATGAAACAGTGTACCTTTGCTTTGGCATCCTCCTTGTCATCTGCTTTGGCAACTAAAAGCATAAGTCTGAGAACCAAGGATATACTTAAAGGAAATTGACCCTTCAGTTTGGGCACATTCGATTTTAAAAGCCTTTCTATCTTAGGTAATGGAATATCATAGAAGAACACATTTCCTATAAGATCTTCTCCACGTCTTCCTGCACGACCAGACATCTAAAGAGATGATCACATAACACTTTTAAATCATTTCAAGTCTTGTCTCTATAAATAGTTAATATCTAACTTACCTATACCACATGAAACATTAAACTTTCAAAAATCTTGTAAGAGTCTTTGTTGCTTGGTATATTAATTTTAGCAAAGTTTAATATATTATTTTACTTTACAAATATATTATCAAAGTGTGCTTGCTTGTTTAAGAAATGCCTCTGTTTTCAGATCATGACTTTTAAAGCAGGGGCAATTTCTGTCTTATTTACCAATGTATATAGACACTCAAATTATAATTGTAGGTGCTTAGAAGCATGTGTTCTCAGAAGATGTGGTTACCTCTTCTTTCTATTATTATTGTTTGAGTTCAATAATATTTATCAAAGCAGGAATATTCTCAGGTAAACTAATCTATTTAGCCAATCAAAGTGTTCAAAATGTCTTTAAATGTAACCATACTCATACAATGTCATATATCCAGAATCATTTTAAAACATTGTGTTATTTTAGTCCAAATGTTTTAAAGTACGTGTGGTTTTATTTTAGCTTACTGAATAAATGTTCCCAATCCCTAATATGCAAATATAACACAGGAAGGTTGTATAAATACCTGTCGAAAGTTCAAGGCATCCAAAAAAACGGAATCTTCCATAAAAACAACAGATTTACATGGCATGTTAATTCCCAAAGCAAGGGTGGAGGTAGCTGTTATCACCTGAAGGTGAAGGGTAATAATAATAATAATAATAAAATTAACATAGAATACATAAATGTGTGCATAGCCTTTAAATATTGACTAGGTTAGACCCTGTGAAATTAGTTTTCTTGAGTAAAACTTCAATGGGAAGTAGGTGTCACCAAAAATACAGATGCTACATTTTCTTTTAGAATATTAACGTTTTCCTTAATATTACAATTACTTAGGATTTTTAGATTGCAAAATGATGTAAAATCACAGCCATCCAGTAAGCTTTTAATTTTTTGCATAAACAAAAGCACCAAGTTGTAAAAGGAATGTTAGTTTTACATGAAAACATTTCTAAGGAAATAGTAGGGGATAAACTCAGAGAGCACAGGAATCAGGTCACATCGAGATTAAAAAGCCACTCTAGCCCTGGCCAGGTGGCTCAGTTGTTTGGAGTATCATCTCATGCACCAAAAAGTTGTGAGTTCCATTCCCAGTCAGGGCACATACCTAGCTTGTTGGTTGAATCCCCGTTTGGGGCACGTATGGAAGGCAACCTATTACTGTTACACTCTCACATTGATGCTTCTCTTTTTCTCTCTCCCTTCCTCTCTCTCTAAAGTCAATAAACATATCCTAGGGTGAGGATGAAAACAAACAAACAAACAAACAACACTTTAAGCAGTTTAAGAGAAAGTAACATGATATTATTAATATTTATAAAAATGCTTTGGTTATTCTGTAAAATAATTTTAGGAGGTAATGAATGAAAGATGAATGATCTTATAGGAACTTTTAGATTATTCTGGAGAAGATCTGATGATGTATTGAGTAGGAAATGGTATCCCCAACTGAGTTAAGATGTACATATAAAGGGCATTTACTGGGGTTTTGCTTTCTTACCTCAAATTAAAAATACTACTTTGACTCACATTGCTTAGTAAAAACTGAAGCTAACAGCTAGATTTTGTCTTATCTCTATCTTATTCCAACCCCACTTGAGGTTACTCATACCCTTTCTTGCTTCTCTTTTCAGTTTTTTATGCATTTTTCTCTAAGTACTAGTTTAGTTCCACCACATAAGTTCGGCTATACAGTATTTTATTTATCTATCAACTCTATATTTTCTTTATTTCCATTATGATTTTTTCTTTACATATTTTTACACTGTGATTTTGTAAAAATGTTAAATTAGTATACCTTTCTAATGGTGGAACATTCTGTACCTCTAGTAATGATTTTATCTTAAAACATATTTAGTTTAAGATAAACCTAGCCACATTAGTTTTCTTTTGGTTATCATTTACATTTTTTTTCCTTTCAATTATTTTTTCCCAATGTGTCCCATATAATCAACACCTAGTTGGATATTTTGTTAATCAACTTCAAAAATGTTTCTCTTAATTAGAGCCATTAAGTTAATATGAATCAGCTTATCTATATATATAAAAGGCTAAGTGACCAACCGTCCATCCACCCAACCATCTGACCGATCGACAGGCCAGTATATATGATGCACACTGGCAATTTAAAAATAAACGTTGACTCGTGCACTTCTATTATAGAGAAAGGGTGAATAGTGATATTAAAATATTTTGTATTTTAATGTTATAATACTATATTATATATACTATTTTGACATGTAATTTTTTGCAGTAATGTAATTACTGCACAAATCTTTCTTTTAATTAATTTCCTTTCAATGTTCATGAATCCATGCACCAGGACACTAGTTTAATATAATTGTTACTAGAAGCTTGTTGCAGGAGGATTCCTGCAAGAATAGAGCTTCCACGGGCCAATCACGCCACAAAGCCCCGCCGCCCAGGGCCACAGACAGGGGTCCCGGCTGGGGGTGGGGCTTAGGTGGCCCATTCGCATCCGCCAAGCCCCACCGCCCAGGGCCGCACACGGGGGTCCCAGCTGGGGGTGGGGCTTAGGCGGCACACGGGGGCCCAGATGGCGGCTCACACTGGCCCGCCCTGCCTGCAGTATGCAAATTAGCCGCAATCTTTGTTGGCAGTTAATTTGCATATCGCGCTGATTAGCCAATGGTAGGTATAGCGAAGGTATGGTCAATTACCATGTTTGTCTATTATTAGATAGGATATTTGTTGATCTGGCTACCATTTTATATGGTTTGTCACAGTGTTTTAAATTTTCTTCTCTGCTTTCTTGGTTCTAATTCATTCAGATGTTTTCCATGCCACTTATTTTTCCTCTGCGGTTTGGATGTTGAACATTCAATTTCTGTTCTTTAGGTGGGTACTGAAAAATTCATATAATCTGTATTTATCAAAGTTCAAAATTAATAATTAATTTTATCCTCCCTTTAGATATTACCTCAAACAACCTCCACATGCCCTAGCTAGTTTGTGGATAGAGCGTCAGCCTGTGGACTGAAGAGTTGCAGGTTCAATTCCGGTCAAGAGTACATGCCTGGGTTGTGGGCTCCATCCCCAGTAGAGGACATGCAGGAGGCAGCCAATCAATGATTCTCTCTCATCATTGATGTTGCTCTCTCTCCCTCTCCCTTCCTCTCTGAAATCAATAAAAAAGATCTTAAAAACACACACACAACAACAACCTCCACTTCTGAAATATACATTATTGTAACATATATTTCTCTTTTTTTATTCCATGGTGTTATTTTTATTGAGATAACAAAAGTTTTAACTTCACTATATTTGTGTTTTTCTACGATTACTCATTTATATACTTTTAAACATCTTTCATTTTCCTGAAATTACTTCCATTTTTCCAAATTTAGAATTTTCTTTTTTAAGTGATGAAGCAAAATGGCAAAACTCTTAGTTTTTATTTGTCTAAAATTCTCCACTTTGCCCTTATTCTGGAAAAATAATTTTGTTGTGTATAAAACTCTAAGTTGGAAGTTACTTCCTTTAAGTTTCTGAAGATAAAATTTCATTTATTTCTTGCTTCCATTTTGCTTTTTAGATTTTTTAAAAATATATTTTTATTTATTTCAGAGAGGGAAGGGAGAGGGAGAAAGAGATAGAAACATCAATGATGAGAGAGAATCATTGACCAGCTGCCTCCTGCATGACCCCAACTGTGGATCTAGCACACAACCCAGGCATGTGCTCTGACAGAAAATCAAACTGTCACCTCCTGGTTCATAGGGCAACACAACCACTGAATAACACTGGCCTGGCTTCATTTTTACAAATCAGATGTCACTCTGTTACAGTACTCTATTTTCTCAGAGTGCTTTTAATGTGCTTTATTCTTAAGGCTATTTTCTTATAGAATATAGAATATATTAAAACAAAAAAGTAAAACTAGCAGAACTACAAAGAGAAACAGAAAAATTTACATTAACACTTTCTATTCTCAATAATTCTACTTTCAATAATTGGTAGAAGGTAAAAAAAAAATTACCAGTAATACAAATTTAAATTAAGAAGCCTCCCAGAACACTGAAATCAGTACCTACAGAACACATTTTAATGCATGTATAGAATATATTGCTAAATAAACTTTATTTTTAGAACCCTTTTAGATTTAAAGAAATTTGCAAAGATAATACAGAGTTCCTATACTCTGTACCCAGTTTTCCCTACAATTAACATCTTAAATTGGTCCTATACATTATTATTAACTAAAGTTCATACTTTTTCCAGATTTTCTTAGTTTTTACCTAATGTTCTTTTTATGTATCTACCCAAGGCACCACATTACATTTGGTAGGCATGTCTCCTTTGACTCTTCTTGGTTGTAACAGTTTCTCAGGCTCCTCTAAAAGAAATTGGCCTCTTTGGAGACACGACTTATCCCAAGACTGGGACTGAGCATCTTACTTTGCCAGAATGTAAGGAAGTGTTCAAAAACAAACAACTCACAATGAGGGAAGCATGCCAAAGGGTTACAGGAAGCAAGTGAAAGAGCTCTCAATTGCCAAAATTGAAACAATTCAAATAAGAAAAAAGTAAAGTAGCATTGAATTATAATCCAAAGCAGAAAATAGCCATGTGTCCATATTGATATAAATATATGTTGGATACATAAATAAATGAGAGAGAGAAGGGACACAGCTCTTATACAGAAGAATTCTAAATAATTTATGTAGATACTTCAACTATAAGGAGGTAAAGTATAACTAAATTACCTACTCCTTATGCATGGACTATGCATAGTGATTTCCTTTCAAGGAGGGCAGTATGGAAAGTGAGATTAAAAGGTTACTCTATCGTGGAAAAGTCTAACAAATATGATCTCAGCCAGGTGCTAAAGATTAACATCCACAGTGATGTCATGTCCATAATCTATAACCCTGAGATAATATGATGAGAATGACACGTTACTTCTGTGGTCTTCCTTCAAGAAACCCATAAGATCCCATGTGATCATGAGAAAGACATCAGAGAAATCCCAATTGAGTAATATTCTACAAAATAATCTGATCAATTATCCTTACAAGCATCAAGATCTTTAAAAACAAGGTACTAGTATATCTGAGAAAGTGTCACATCCAAGAAAGCCTAAAGAGGTCTGACAAGTAAAATGTTGCATCTTGGTTGTAATTGTGGAACTGAAAAAGGACATTGCAGGAATAACTGAGGAAGTCTGAATAAAGAATAACCTTTAGTTTATAAAAATTTGTCAATATTATTTAATTATAACAAACTAGAGGCCCGATGCACGAAAATCTTGCATGAGTAGGCCTTCCTTCCCCCAGCTGCGGACACCGGCTTCCCTCTGGCCCCAGCTTCGTCAGAAAGGACATCCAGAATGCCATCCAGAATGATGTCTGATCTAATTAGCATATTACACTTTTATTATTATAGATGTACCATACTAATGCAAGATGTTAATAAGTGAAATTGGGTGCATGGCATATAAAATGCTCTCTACATTGTACTCACAACTCCATTTTTTTAGCCATAATACTCAAAATTGTCAAGGTGAAGTAAACAAATACAGTCATTCTGGAAAGAAATTTAGCAATGTATTTCTAAAGTCTGAAAATCACTTTTGCTCTTCAAACCAGTGATTTCACTTTGCAGAATCAGCTGATCCCATCAACAATCGGAAATGATGATATATGTTTATAAACAACAATTTCAACATTAGAATGTTTAAATAAAGTATATATGTATATTATGATGCACTGATACAATGTTTATTATGTAATGCTAATTAATAATAAACTTAATTACATACTACTAGAGGCCCAGTGCACAAAATTTGTGCACTCGGGGGGGAGGGTCCCCAGCCTGGCCTGTGCCCTGTCACAGTGCGGGAGCCCCACAATCGATTGCCCCAAAGAGGTAGGACCTACCCACCCATCCGGGGCTCCTTGATGGATTGCCCCAAAGAGGTAGGCCAGAGCCGGGGCTCCTGCCTCCATGCTGCGCAGAGCTGGGAGGCAGGACCCTTAGGACCCAAGGCAGGCCTCGTTGCATGGAGCCGGGAAGAGGCCGGATCCTCAGGCAGGCCTCAGTGTGCGGAGCCGGGGGACCCCCAGGCAGACCTCACTGGACCCCAGGCAGGCCTCGCCACGCGGAGCCAGGAGGAGGAGAGACGCCCAGGCAGGCCTCACTGCGTGGAGCTGGCAGGCCTTGCCTTGCGGAGGCCGGACTCCCAGGCAGGCTCCATGCTGCACACACAGCATCAAGCCCAAGCCCAGCCCCACCCACTTGCACACACCCGCTGTGCATGCAGCCATCTTGTGATGGCGTGAGGGCATCACGGCATGACGACCACTTAGGCTTTTATTAGTAAGGATTAGCAAAGTAGACAGGATCCCTAATTGCATATATATTATTCATTAACTATGTAAAATGTATTTAAAGGGATGGAATAGAATATGCTAAAATGTTAGCAACATATCCCTTGCAGTGGAGAGGTTATGAGGAGGGAGATAGAGTGACTATCCTACTCAGGCTGAAAGAATGAAGGCACTGTTTTTAGGAAAGTTATCCTCAAAGTTCACCAACCTTGAGGTGCTTCAGTCTGAAAAGCATCTCTACAACTTGTCTTTGTCTGATTTCCATCGAACCGTGGTGATATCCAATGCCCCGCTTTAACAGACCGTGTAGTTTGTAGCATTGTCTTGTTCCTCTCAGTCTGCGTAGGATCTTTGCTAAAGTCTGAAATACCCCAAACAAAGAGTCTGTAGTGTCAAATGAAAGCATTGATCCTTCAACTTAACAATGATGTCACGTCTAAAAAGATTGTTTAGAGATAAATTCAGAGTTGGACACACTTTAAACAATAGTATGTTTAAGGCCAGAACCCAAAGCCTATTTAAATAGGCTTTATATTTTAGTAGAGTGGTTTCACAGTACCGGACATTCAAAGCTCCATATCTTTCTGACACAAGCAAATGCAACCCAACCTTATATGTAGTGATCCTTTCTTCATCCATTTCTTCATCAGGAACATGTACCCCATTTTCTTCCCCATACCCACTGGGTGGTCAAGGCCTAGCCATGATCCCAACTGCTTAATCACTGGCTATAGCTGTAATGGACTGAACTAAGGGCGCCAGCTCACCCTGGGACAATGAGGACACACTGAAGGGACAGGATAAGAGGTGGGTGAGGGACCAGAGTGCCCTGATGCTAGTATCCCCCAAAATTTGTGTCTGTCACTTTCCTCCTCCCCCCACCCCTCGGCCCTGCCCAATCCTTCCCTGTTTCTCTCCCTCTGCTTCTAACCTTTTCTCCTTTCTCTCTCTCTCTGAAACTCTCTATTTCTGTACATTTCTTTGTCTATCTCTGTCAGTCACTGTTATTGTATCTCCTCTTTGTCCCTCTTTCCTAGTCACTGTTATTGTTTCTCTCTTTTCTTTTTTTCTTTTCTCTTTTTCACCTCTTTACTCTCATTCTGCCTCTCTTTCTCCCCCTCCCAATTATTGCACAAGCCATAAACAAGTAATAACCATATTTCTCTAACTATTACATGAACAATAAGGTCAACCAGCAAGTATTTTATGAGCAACCATTGCTTAGCATTTCTGAATGAGCTGTGGCATCAGGGAGAAATATAAGGCAATCAGAACTCCACAGTTTCAAGTTTGAAGAACTAGGTGCAAGGTAGATAAAAACTGACAAAGAAAATTTTTCAGAAGACAGACAACTATGATTTTGAGGTTCTTTTAGCAAGTTGTTGCTTAAGCCTATAGCTGAGAGAAAAGATTTTTACATTTGATATTTATATATCTGTCTACATAAAGGAATAGTTATAATTAACTTCAACTAATAAAGACAGTTTCATAAATATTGGAGTTATACTTTGGCACAAATCATCAAGCTGTTTTTAATAACTGTATAAATTCAAACAAATTATCTTTTTTAAAAAAATATATTTTATTGATTTTAGAGAGGAAAGGAGAGGGAGAAAGAGATCGAAACATCAAATGGTAAGAGAGAATCATTGATTGACTGCCTCCTGCATGCCCCCTACTTGGGTCCAAGCCCGCACCCCAGGCATGTGCCCTTGGCCGGACTCGAACCTGGGAACTTTCAGTCTACAGGGCGACGCTCTACCCATTGAGCCAAACCAGCTACGGCACAAACAAATTATCTTAATTTCTCCAGCCTACAACTTTAGTCTCCCATCCATTGTTTCAAGATTAATTTAGATTAAGTATGTTACGTGTTTTATAAATTCCATATCAAAGTATAGACATCATACACACTTTTATGTACTAAATTGTGCTCCTCCAAAAATTGTGCACCCCCAGTACCTCAAGATGTTATTGCATTTGGAGATGGAGTCTTTATAAAGTTATTCAATTAAAATGAGGTCATTGGGGTGGGCCCTCATCCAATATGATTAGTGTCCTTATAAGAAGAGGAAATTTGAACACAGGCACATAAAAAGGAAGATGATATGAAGATAGAGAAAGAAGATGACCATGTGCAAGCCAAGGAGAAAGACCTGGACAGATCCTTCCCTAGAAGCCCTCAGAAGGAAGTGACCCTGCCAACACCTTGACCTTAGACTCTACTCTCCAGAACTGGGAGAAAATAAATTTCTGTTGTTTAAGCCACTCACTGTGGTTCTTTGTTACAGCAGCCTTAGCAAGTCCATACACACATTTGCATTACCCTTGTTGTTTTTTTTTCTCTTACCTGATAATCCACAACTGTACGGTCAGTGTAAGTACAGTCTGGTGAAATTTCATAATGTTTCTTAAGGTTTTTTTTAATTTCCTTTATTTCAGCTGCTAATAAAATGATTCTTTGTATTCTAGCACCTGAATCTGAATTAAAATAACTGAATATGAAAAAGAGAAAAATGCGTAAATATATTGATTATATCATGTTCTTTTATTTTTTTTTTAAGTTTGAGGTTATGTATGTAAATGCCAGGTAACTCAAACCCAGAACACAATATCCCTATTAGAGGATATTCTTCAGGCCTTAATTACCTCAATTGTGTCTTTATCAACTTACCATTTAAGTATACTTTAAACATATGCATTAATATGCATCTAACATGAATAGAAAAACCTCCTGCACCTCTCCCATATCTCATGTCAACCAAATTTTAATTTATTTTCTATATCCAGTGGAACAATATTTTTTACATTAAATATGATGGAAAAAATTCAAGTATCCTACTAACTGCAAACAAATGCAAATTCTTAATAGTTGAAGAAGTATAGAAAAATGTTATCTGCTACTCTCTTCTTTTAAACACATACTGTAATTGATTTTCAATATGTGCCAAAATTAGCCATGAGCGATGTATTGGAGCACTTCTCAACAAGTCATTGCTCTGGTGAAGTGACATATGGAGAAAGGGTCAACATTCTGTTGGGCCATCAGAGTGGGCCTGATTCAGTCATCCTATCTGCAATTTTACTCTAAGACCCAAACCCATTTTATATGACCACCCCCACCTCAGAAATTTATCTGAAACAGTCAGAAAAGAATAATTTATTGTATTATGGTTATTATTTCTCTCAAGAGTAGGTAAAGACAAATGCTAGAAAAGAATCCCGAAGAGGGTGAGACTTGTGTAACTATTATCAAACAAAGTTATGTAACAAAATTCATACATCATGTTTTTCAGGTTAATTTGTACATTAGAATGAAACAAAAATACAGGCATTTGTTTATATATTTATATACTTTATGTTAAGATAATAAAGTCATAAAAATGCAAAAATCATATTTCCTTTGTTATGTTAAAAGAAAAATGTGTCAGTGAACTTGTTCTGACTAATTAGCTGGTTGAAATTCTAATGGGTATCTTTTTAAACAATTTATTTTTAGCAATATGCAAACTTGCAATTTCTAAAAAACAAATCTATAACTTGCATTTCTAAGAAAAAAAAGAAGCTAGTAAAATGAAGAAAATTATTATAAACTATTGTATAATTACTAAAATATTCAAAAAAAATTCTCTCTTGGATGTCCCCACAAAAGTGAAGTATAATTAAATTAACTCGATGTATCATAGAAAGGGAAAAACAGTCACATTATTATGTTATAAAAACAAGTTTGAATTTATAAAAAGAGCTGAACACCCATGCATTCTTTTAAACATTTAAAATTCCACAGCTCAAGTAAAAACACTCACGCGGCAATGTTTCTTTTTTGAGATTTTCTTGCTTTCCATAGTTTCTTGATCAAAATTTTCTTCTCTCTTTCAGAATTTGGATTGTTATGAGTAATTTGTTTGCTTATCAAATGTGTAAAAAGTCGTGAAGCTGAAAGTCCCACTGAGTGAATGTTAAATCTAAATTAAAAATATATGAGAATTGTTAATAATTGCATGTTCATATCAATCTTATATGTATCGTATATATTAGATACATCTCATATTACTTACATCTATCTCTCATATATGAGAGATAGATTATACATACAATCATATAAGTTTTATTCATAATCTACCTTTAATTTGTTTGCTTTGTAGATCTTGCTTTGTTTAAAATGAAATATAACAAATTAGATGTAGGTTTCCTCACCTTTCCTCTTATCTAGAATATATACACTTTGAGACCTAATTCCTTTGTAGCCCACCTGGCGTGGCTCAGTGGTTGAGCATCAACCTATGAACCAGGAGGTCATGGTTCAATTCTCAGTCAGAGCACATTCCCGGTTGTGGGCTTGATCCCCAGTGTGGGATGTGCAGGAGGCAACTGATCAATGATTCTCTCTCATCATTGATGTTTCTTTCTCTTTCTCCCCTTCCTTTCCTCTCTCTGAAATCAATAAAAATATTTTTAAGTGTCTTTAGCCACCCTCGCCATTATTTTCTCTTCCCACTAAACTTTGAAGCACCCAATGTCTTTATCACACATTTATTTAAGATGTATATATTATGTTATACTGTTGAGGGACGGACTTTATAATTAATAATTTACTATTTTACTCTCCTATGTTTCCAGAGGTGACAAATATCTCCTCATATTCACTATTAGCACCTACAGAATTTCTTGAATTCTGAAATGTTGAGTAACTGTGTATATACTTACTGGCTAAACTATTGAGTCTAACTATTTCAAGGTCATATACAACCACTCTTCCAAGGATATTAATTCCTTAAGGGCAGTCATGTCACAGATTGCTTCTGCATCCTTGAGTCCTGGACTTAGCACCAATGAGCAAAGTAAAATGAACTGAATGTAAGCTCATTTCATACATATAGATTAACAAAATATTTTTCAAAGGAAATTTTAAGTATAATGAAAACATGATTGCTAATTGTTTGATGTTGCTACTAAGCCCCAGCTCACTTTTCTTTTAATACTCTTAAGGGAAAATAGGAAAAGGAAACTAGCAGAGTGAAGGTCTTTCCTTTTTAGTGAAGAGTTTAGATGAGTCTACTTTTGCAAACAACCTATAGAAAAAATACAGCAAGGTCATTTGTGTGTATATGTTATGCATGTGTGTGTTATTGTACATGCTCTCTTTGGCAAATGCATACTCTATTTATCCTTTTTTCCTTATCTTACTTTGATGATATATAGAACTTTTCTTATAAGGATGGGCCAGAAATTCTACAGTATTAAACTATACAATTAGATTTTGAAATATAGTCTAATGAGAGGTGCTCTTTTCTCTCATCCTATACCCAGCTTGGTATTATAAGTATGATTTCAACATAAATAGAGTTATAATTTCTCAAAATATGCTCTGGCCAGGTGGCTAAGTTGGTTGGAACAATGTCTACTGTGCCCCCCAAAAAAGGTTGTGGGTTCAATTCCCATCAGGGCACATACCTAGTTACAGTTTGATCCCTGATCAGAGAGCATAAGGGATGCAACTGATCAATGTTTTTCTCTCATATTGATGTATCTCTCTCTCTCTCTAGAATTAATTAAAAAAATATACTCGAATGAGGATTAAAAGAATTCTCAAAATTCTACTATTGTGAATCAAAGGTTATATATATTCTTCCTCAATGATTGTTTTCAAAATTCTTCAAATTTATACAATATTAAGTATAATGCTAAGAAAATGTTACTTACGAAAAAAATATTGCAGGCAGCCTATTCATTTCTTTAAGTTTTTCCACAAAATGAGGAAACATCCTTCGCTTTTCAATTTCTGCACTGTCAAAAGTTTGAGGCTTAAGGTACATGAATAACTGATTCACCTGAATAAAATTATAAGATAAGTCAAAATACTTATGATTGTGAAGAAGAGATAGATGATACAATCAGCTGTCATTTGAGACTGAAAATCAAATTGGTAAGGCTTAGCGCATTTTCATGGAGTAAGTTAGAAATTATATCTAAATAATGCAAATTTTCAAATAAAATTAAAATCTGAGAAAACTTGAATGCCATATTTCTACAATATTGTAATCATATCTATGTCATATCATGGCACGGTGTTTATGGAATGGGGCAGAGATGGTTACAAATTGATATTGGTTATTAATAGGGTGAACACAGAGCACAGTAAGTCCTGTCTACAAATCATATTTTTAACAAAATATCTAACATAAAATTAAGGAAAATAAATGTTTAAAACTAAAATTTTAGGTGAAAAGAATGTAAAATGTTAACAAAAATTGATAGACAAGATACAATAGATGAGAAGAGGATTTTCATGTTATGAATGACAGCTTATTACCATGAGGCATGTCATAAGCTCTAAGGAAAAGAAATATATCACTTGTGCCTAATGGAGAGTATATTTGATGGAACTAATTAGAGCTTAGAGATTGGCCACCTCCTAAAATATGTTGAGTCAAGAGGAGTAAATAAAATTAAGTTTGATCTAGGCTGGTGCCTATATATCCCAGTGTGTTAAAAGCCAGATAATAGCAATGATAGGCCAAAGATTCTCAACCATGTCTGCACATTGAAATTTCATAGAATTTTGTTTTCATGTTCCACTGCCCCCGCACCACACAAAGCCAATCAAATCAGAAATTTTAATAAGCTGCATTTTTATAAGCAGCGAATGCTGACAACCTTTATCTATACAATAGCAATTCTTGACAGTTGGTTTTCACACTTGCAGATCAGATAGTCTGCGCAAGTCTGGGTGTAATTAAAATTTAAAACCAAAACCAAACAGGGGTTCCTACCCATGTGGAAAGAGAATGAAGAAAATGTGGGTGGATTGAAATTCTGCTTCCATTACCTGAACCTGGCTGGTCATGAAGTGATCACATCTTCACCATGACTTTGGGCTCCAAGCAGTCAAGGTTGTTTGATATTACATGTCAGGATATGTAAATGAGTTTGACCATATTCCGTTCCTTCTAACTGTCTGGTGAATCAGCCCTGGGTAACTACAGCATGTGTCACTGCTTGTACCATTGAGATATTGTAGAACTTATTTTCAGGAAGTAAAATATTATGAGGATTTTATCATAACAAAAAAGGAAAGTCAAAGAATAGAAATTATAGTAAGGTAAATTAAATAATACTTGTAATTTATTTCAACTATCCATGTTGTTGGCAACCAAAAGAAACTGGGTATTCACCTATTTAAATAAGTAAAATAGACAAAAGGTCTTCCTTAGGGAAATATTAGAGAAGAAAATCAGGGCAATGACCCACTGGTATTAGAAATCAGAGAAGTCCTATCCTCTGTGAAAAGCAATAGCTTAACTTGAGATTCAGAAAAGATGTGGTACCCAATTATTCTTTGCATTTTTCCACATCTAGCTAACTAAATTTAAGCTAGAACACCAAGACATGGCAATGGGGTACTCATGTTTCAAATCCTTGAAAGCTTTATGGGTGATTCTTCTGAACCTAAATGAAGAAGTCAGATCCATTTCATATTAATCTTAAATTTAAAGAAATCCTAAATGTTTTTAATTACCTTGCTTGGGTCCAGCTGACTCCAGTGAATTATTTCCTTTTTCAGTTCCTCTTCATATTTCTTAGCATCTGCCCTTGTTATGACTATTTTATTTTTGAAGCAGCTGAATTCTTCAGGTTCTAACTCCTTGAAAATGAAGAACCACAAATACAAAGGAAAATGAAGTCATCATTTTTTCTAAAGTTTTCCATATCCACCATTACGAAGGAAATCTCTCAAGCAGTCATCCACATTCAGTTACAGAGATAACTGCAGGTAGGCCAACAGTTCTGTTCTCTATGTAATGGTTGCATTTTATTCTGTTTTCATTAGAACATACCAACACATAATTTTATTAATATTTCAATTAACTTTAGAGGTAAAAGAAATAAAAATTTCTTAAGTGTTTATTATATATATATAAATATAAATCTAATATATATATATAATCTAATAAAAGAAAAACATGCAAATTGACTGTACCTTCACTATGCCTTAAGCCATGCCCACCAGCCGATCAGAGCGACTATATGCAAATTAACCTAACCAAGATGGGGACCAGCAGCCATGGAGCTGAAGCGAGCAGGA